GTCCCTTCAAGAGGCTCTCACTGTACTTACCTTGTGGGAGGCCATGTGCTTTAATGGCAGTCCCCATTACCTACTATGCCACTCTGTCTCTATCCATTGCCCAGCCTGACATTGTGACCTGAGGGGCAGGGACTGGTCCTGATAGAACATCCAAGACAGATTATGTCATCAACATTGTGACATCCAATTGATGAGTCCAGCCCTCTGAACTGCTGTCCAATGAGATCTTTGCATTTTGACTGACTTCTCTATTAAAGTCCTGGCCTGGCTCCCTGCTCCCAACCGCTAAAATCCCTAGGGAGCTCAAAATTGAGTGAGTGGTGTTGCGACCTGACACATGGTGAGCAGTGCCTCAAGCAGCAGATGGCTGAATGGCAAGTCCTGGCAGAACCACAGCATGACCCAGACCAGCCATTGAGTGTACTATATGACTGTTTGTTGGACCTGCAGCACAACTAGAACCCACTTGTGCTACATCATAGGGATTCCCTGAACCTGGGCTAGGCTGAAACCCAGTTGGGATACCACTCAGTTTTCACCTGGCCCTGCCTTTATGACGCTGTCTTCTCACAATCTCTATCATGTGTAGCAATTCAGGGTTTTGTGCCCAAGTCCCACTCTACCAGCTGGCATTCTCTTGAATGCAGGGACACAGTACATGGATACAGGAGGAGAAACTTTCAGACCAAGTCCTTAACTAAGTCAAAAGCAGTAGTTAGGCTAGATTTAGTGAAAACCTGCTGGTTAGGTCTGGTCTGTACTTGGCCACTTCACTGCTGTATACAAAACACTCCACGGTGACCAGATGTTAGCCCCTTTAACTTTAGGAGGGAATGAATCATCCCCAGATGATATCAAGAAGGCAAGTTCATAGACTCATTGATTCCCAGGCCAGAAGGGACCACTGTGATAATCTAGTATGACCTCCTGTATTACACAGGCCATAGAACTTCCCCGAAATAATTCCCAGAGTATATCTTTTAGAAAAACATCCAATCTTGATTTAAAAATGGTCTGTGATGGAGAATCCACCAAGACCCTTGTTAAATTTGTTCTAGTGGTAAATTACTCTCAAAGTTAAAAATCTATACCTTATTTCCAGTCTGAAATAAATTCTTTGAAGTGTGCCCCTTTTCCTTCTAGTTTAAGTATTGGTGTTCTTCCTATGACTATGGACAGGAGCATGTCTTCTGCCAGACCTTTAAGAGCAGTCTCTATACCTTGCCAAAAGCGTGACTGAGGGGACACAGAACACTAGTAGCTGACACATTGCAATGTGGACTATAGGTAGCTAGCTTCTCTAAAAAGTTTGACACTAGGCAATACTTTGTGGTGTCTCCATTGTTGAGCAATGGCTCCTTTAGTATTGGGTCTGACTATTGCATGTTTTTGTGTGAGGTGTAGATTCCCCTTGGCAAAGGAGGTGTTGGCTGTAATTAGTAGGGGACCCACATATTCTGTGCTGTTTTTCACCATCCAGGAGGAGTAGGGGACAGAGTAACAGATGGTGGCCTTGGTTGCCGTTAATGCCTCCATGACTAGTACTACTGTGAAGGGCCCAAATTCTTGGAAGGAGGATGTTGTTTCTAGCCCTAGTTTTGTTTTGTTTTGTTCTTAGTGGCTCATGAGGCCATTCCAGTCGCAGATGATCTTTTCTGTGAAATCCAATGATTTCTCACAACAAGAGGTGCTGGGTAATGGGGCTGAGAAAAAGAAATTAGGGTTTACAGTCTGGAAAAGTTCTGCAGGGTGTGTCCTTCTTGACACAAATTTCTGAGCGAGTAAGCAGGAGTGGATTTAACAAAGTTGGCAAATGTTGTCTGGGTCATTTTTGCATTGGGCTCTTCACAGGGTGGCAAATCTTTAGCCCTGGCACTTCTGCAATACAGAACCTACCAATGGGCCAGCTGTACTCTGCTGTTGTGGAAGCTTCCATTTTGTTTGAGGGGTATACATGGCTAGCAATGTACATGGCTACTCTAATTATTTTTGCACTACTTGTCAATATCTTGGGACCTTTTGGATTAATTGCTGCTCCTGGGCACCCAAATAACAGCAGTATGCAGAAATGCTTTTTTCTTCATCTTCCGTTTAACAGTGGTCAAGGAAATCTGAGCACTTCAGGTGACATCCCAGTTCTTTGCTATTACTTCTTCAATATCCTTGGCTGATAAGGAAAGGTGAGGATCAGGGTGTTAGTGGGTTATGAGTACTCTGAACGCATGTAGAATAGGAGGAGACAAATTCAGGTTATTCATCTCTCTTCATATTGTTTTTTGCATTTTAATGTGAATGATCTATACTATTTCTTCAATAATCATTCAAAATGTCAGACTGTAGTATGTTTACTACACACATAGAACTTTTGTCAGTAGAAAGGTTTTGATGCCAAAAATTCTTCTACTGATCTTTTAAATTTTATCCAAAATACACTAATAGATTCTGTCAACACAGACTTAAATGAATGTTATGTGATTTCCCAATGAAAGGGTATTATATGTGAGCATGGAAGTTTGAGCCAGACATACTACTTTCATTAGTGTGTGGATCCAGCTGTGTTTGAGTGAAAATAGAATTCTTAAAATAAAGTTGAATGAACCATCTGTTTTCACAGAGGCAGGCGAGGGGAAGTTTGGCTGTTATGCTCATTACAAATGTTGTACAGGGTTTTGCTAGACTCAGATAGTCACTATGCTGGTCATTTCTTTTCACTGTGCTGGCATTATTTTTATAGTGCAGACCATTGCTGTGCTGAACATTGTTTTCCTAGTGGATGTGTAAACACTGTGGTAATGAAAAAGTTATTTTTCTTTCCTTGTTTTTCCCCAATCTTGCTCAAAGAAGAAATTCATTTGCTAAACCTACCCAGAAACATTGTCTTTGACATTAGAGAGGACTCATTATTATCAGTTAGTGGGTTGAACTGTCTTCCTGGATCAATTATCCCTGCTGATTATAAATGCAAGTTTCCTTTCAACATAATAAGGAGCTTTGTAGTTACCAAAATATCCTTAAGATTAGCTAATTTACTTAGATAAATATTAGGATTCTGCAACACACTCTGGATGAAAGAAGAACTAGATCAAACATTAGGCTATAATTTGCACCACACCTTTTTTTAAGGGTCCCAAAAAGTCTTGTGAACTTTCTTTAATTTTTTCCCCACGTTCTTCTTGCATCACAACTGAAAGCAAGGTATACTGGGATGAGAGCCTGTTTTCACAAAATTTCCAGCCTGCTTTGCAAACTCAAGAGATTTGGGGCAATTTGGATAAGCATCTGTACTTTGTGATATTTATCCAAACTTCTGAACCATCATTGTGAAATATCCTAGCAAACTGAGACATTTAGAAGGGTTCTTTTTTGTCATTCTGACATTAATAAGTTCAGGTTTGTATGTATGGTTCATTTTACATCAATGAAAGTTCTTTGTGTGGAAAAACTACAGAGTTAGACTCATCTGTGTATTTAATTAAACTTGATTAAAGAACAAAACAAAACACCAATATAGAAAAAATAAACATTCCAATGGCTGAGTGTGAGTTCAGGTTGTTACATTTATAAATGATAATTGCAAGATTAGATTTTTAACAATTGGGTGCATGAAATGTATCGAATAAATGTTGCCATCACTCAGATAAAACTTCCATTGAGGGTAATGTCAATTTTATCTGGGTAAAGACTCATTAAGAATTTCAAGAACTGGCCTTAGAGTTTTATGAATTGCCTGTGTAATTATACAGGATGTCACCCTGTCTTCTTAAACATCCCTGTAAAAGAGAATAGGCATTTATTATGGCATAAAGAAAAGGATAAGCATAAACTTTTGTGAGCTACAGCTCACTGCATTGGATGCATGAAGTGAGCTGTAGCTCACGAAAGCTTACGCTCAAATAAATTGGTTAGTCTCTAAGGTGCCACTAGTACTCCTTTTCTTTTTGTGAATACAGACTAACACGGCTGCTACTCTGAAACCTGTTATTATGGCATGCTTCCTGGTGCTCTTCTATTAACCCTTAATATGGGCCCTATTTGAATCTATCTATATTATTGTATGGCCCCATTACCAAAGTGTCTGAGCACCTCACAGTCTTTAATATTTTGATTCTTAAGACACCCCCTGAAGTAGTGAAGTACTACTGTCCCCATTTTATGGATGGGGACCTGAGGCACAGAGAAATTAAGGGACTAGCTCAAGGTCATAAGGAAGTCTGTGATAGGAAAGAGAATTAAACCCAGGTTTCCCAAGTTGCAGGTTAGTATGCACTAGGCTATCTAGCTCTGATTGTTTACAAATTTAAGACGAGGTTCTCTCTTGCAAGGATGTTAACTTTAATGGGAATATTGCCAAGGTAAAGACTTCAGGAAATACTCCATATATCTCATGCATGTGACTATTTAAAAACCCCATAATCTTGCCTCCTGCAGCTTTTGCATGTGCGGAGACTCTGCACCTGCTCCTTTTTGGGGTGTCATTTACTCCCCTGCACAAAACTGGTCAACTCTGCTGGCTAGTGTGGGTGGATGACAGTAGAACTATGATTCACCCTCCCACCTATGCCTTCCATCTACTTTGAGGTGCTATGCAATCTTGGGGGGGAGGGGTGTTAGGACAGAGCAAGCCTTGTGCTCTTCAGATTGCAGGACGTGCCATTCCGCCTGACTTTTTATGGGTCGTGCAAGTAGGAAAGGCATCGTACATTACTGTCCCGCTCTCTAAGCATCAGTGTAAGGGCTACAAAACAATCTGGCCCCAACCTATGAAATTTGTTTTTCTATGTATTCTTGCTGTTTAAAAAATACTGACATTTGCTTACTCAAGTAGATCTTTTCCATCTTAAATAATAGCAACATATGTTTAATTATAGATCCATGATGTGTCTTTATTACTGAATGTATTTGGGGTTGTCTTGTAGAGAATTATTGTGTTTGTACCCTTAATAAATCTCCTGCCTGTGCAGAAAGCTGGAATTCTTTGCCTAACACTTGATAATTAATAGTTACAGATAAGCACCAGTTCAAACCTGAACACATGCTCTACAGGTTCCGTTATGATGATGGAACATACTATCCAAGAAGTGAAATGCAGGATGTGATTTCCAAGGTACAAACTGCTCTTATCAGTAAAAATGGGTCAGATACAGAGGTCCTAGTTAAAAATAAAGCAAAATGCATTGTGTTAGGAAAAACTCTGTCCCTGGACGCCAGTCTAATGTGAATCAGAGTTAATTATGTATATCTGTAGGCAGATTTTGGCTCTTGGCTTATTGCAAACCATATTTTAAATACAGAAACTGAGAAATATGTTTCTAAAAATGATTTTATCCAGGAAGTACTAGGCTACATAAACATATAAAGGATATAATGCCCACCTTTTTGAATGACTGGAGCAGAAACAGTAGTTTTCTGTATTTTTCAATCAGTAAATTGAAACCAGTATACCTTGCTTATATTCAGTGAAAATAAAAAGAGTATGTGAGTATAGACCAGAATTTCTTACTGTTTGTATTGGAGTGGCTTTTGGTATTCCTTTAGTGTGTGAAGGGTATATTGGCTTATCAAAAGTAACCTGATGTTTTAATGGAAATATGCAGGTTGTATGTTCTGCACCCTGACACTGTACCCAAGGATATATTGAAAGAATAAAACAAAGTCAACAGAGTCATCTTTAGTCCCTTTGGTGTTTTTAAATTTGTGGTCCTGATCCAGGGGAAAACTAGGACCATTCAGGTTTTCTCCCAGCCTACTGAGTTAGGACAGCTGCTTCACTGACTCTTCAGTTAGAGGTTTCCTAATATAGAGTGTCTCAAGTGAAGGGAATCCCTCAATGCAGACTTAGCAGATACAGCGGTCTGTGGCAGAGTTTCTGCCTAAACTTTATATTTCTTTTGTTTTGCCACTGTACCGTGTGCCATAATCTTAATGCTGTTTTGTTAAATCTGTTTATGAATAGTTACACGCTTTTAAGAGGATTTTGTGATTAGAACATTAGAAATCAAATATATATGACTCTTTATTAAAAGTTTTAAAATTTCTGAACTATTTTACCTCTAATTTTTATTTGGCTTGCTTGTGGGTACAGTGGGTCATGTTCAATTTTGATTTTCTGGCAATATTCATAAATATACTTCACTTTTCTCCTCTCTAGTAATTCAGTTTGTTTGGAATCCACATTTGCACAGAAAGTCGTCTTTGCTGTGAACGTTTAACATATACATTTCTTTAAAACTAATATATGTTAAAAAAATCTTTTAATGCTGTGCTAAAGTTATGTAAGTCTTCTTTACATATCTCTCAGATTAATTAGAAAAGCCCATGATAATTTAGTCACAAATATTATTTGTCTTGTAATCTGGAGGTTTATTACACTTCAGAAATAACTTTGGTGCATGAAAACATATCTATGAAATGAATGTGCACTTCTTCTGTTCTACATTTTAAAAATATAAGCTATTTGCATTATTTTGAATGGATAGGTATTGTTAGAATAGGTACTGAGTGGTATTTGCTTCAGTGTAAATGTGGATTTAAACATATCTATATCTTTAACAGGGTGTAAGATTGTACTGTCGTCTTCATAGTCTGTTTACTCCAGTGATAAGGTGAGTCCAGGTGACTTATTCAGAATAAACATATATATTTGAATACTGTAGATACTATATACAAACACAGAGCTAAATCCTAGCCTGTGTTTCGGGCGGTGTGCTAGTGGGGAAGAAATTGTAGAGAGAGTGCTCCCAAAACCCAAAGTAGCAGCAGGACGGGATTCCAACCTAGCACTTAAAAGTACTGTATAGGCAGTGCCCCAAGTGTCATGTTCACTACAAAAGCAGGAATCAGGTTTGCCAGGACAGTTTACTCAGGCTTCTGGAAGAATCTAGTTCATACTGGGCATTTTCAGAGGCTTACCACATACATAGCGCAGTCACATTCATGTTAGCACTATAAAACTCACTTGGAGAGTCACTCCCATACTTGTAACATGATGCCTATCCTTACACCCAGGGAACATGGTTGGCTACCTAGGGACAAGTCCAGCCCTCCTCCCCACTCCTATCTACACTGTAGGCTTTGACTTGCTCCATCTAAGGAGTTGAGACCTCAGGGCAGCTTCTGAAGTTCTATTTTTAAGGTACAGAAAACTATTCAAAAAACAACATAGATCATGCTTGTGACAATTTGTGTGTAAAACATAGGATTTTTTCCTTCTGTTTTGTTTTTTTTTAAACAGGGATAAAGATTATCATCTGAGGACCTATAAATCTGTAGTCATGGCTAACAAACTGATAGACTGGCTAATTGCACAGGCAAGTGTACCCTGGGTTTACTTTTCTGCATTATGAATTTAACTTCCTAACATGGAAAGTTGTAATTAATCATGTAGAAGAAAATGAAAATACGTTGTTTTAAAGTTCTAATTATTAGAACAGAGTTAATGTAAATATCCTGTTGATTCTGTAAAACAGCAAAATTCAGCTGTTTTACAGAATCATGGCCAGTTGCTGATCTTCCTGTGTTGCACATTGATCTTTCAATTTCTGCTTAGCTTCTTGCTGCTTTCAAAATGTTAGCATTTTGTGTAATAATGTGTATAGTTAAAATGAATGGTGTGTGAAGCTGCAAATTACTGACTGAATGGACAAAAGGAAGCAGCAGGGAGAAGTTTACAACCAAGGAATTCAGTTTGTGTTAGGCAAAGTTGTGGTTTGTATTGGAAGAAAATAGGAAAAACTTCTTTTTTGAATCAAGTTTTACCAATATTTTCCTAACTTTGCTGCTTTTCTGCAGTCTGATTATGTGCCCCTGTTATGGAACAATCTGCAGGGGCTGCAGAATGTAAAAAGAATGATGAGTGTTTTCTCTGGGAATAGCATGATAGAACAGATTTAAGAATCCCTCCTTTTTAACACTGGGGTACTTGTTGGATACCTGGGAACAGAAAGTTATATGGATTATAAATAAAAGTTGTCAGCATTATGTTTACAAAGATGACGAAAGAGCATAGAAAATAAAGTTGGCAATGTAGAATGAAGATGATAATTTGTGAAAATGAGTTTTAGAAACAGAAAAGTTTACAAAAAACTGAGAATCTCTTATGAACTTTAGTTTTGAAGATTGTCAATAAATACTCAATGTATATAGACAATGTAATATTAACAAAAAGATTCACTATTTTATGAGAAAATGTTGTGGCTAATAACAATGGAGTCAATCATCACTGAGATGATGGAAAACATGTTATCATCTAGGAGCATAATTTGGCCAAGATCTTTGTGCACAGCTCTCCACTGTTCGTGTTATTTCTGTGCATGATATGAAGACAGAATAGGTTCAATTTTTCGGAATTATTATTCATTATTGTTCATTCTTATGTTCTTATATGACTAAGGGAGGATATGATAGAGGTCTATAAAATCCTGAATGATATGGAAAAAGTGAATAAGGAAGAATTATTACCCCCTTCACATAACACAAGAGCCAGGGGTTACTTAGTGAAATGAATAGACAGCAAGTGTAAAATAAATATGAAGAAGTACTTTTTCATACCACACACAGTCAATCTGTGGAACTCATTGCCAGGAGATGTTGAGAAGACCAAAAGAATAACTGGGCTAAAAAAAAAATTTTCTAAGTTCATGGAGGACAGGTCTATCAATGGTTATTAGGTAAGATGGTTGGGGACACAACCCCATGCTTTGGGTGTCCCTAAACCTCTGACTTCCAGAAGCTGGGAGTGAACGACAGGGGTTGTATCACTTGATAAATTGTCCTGTTCTGTTCACTGGCCACTGGCAGACGACAGGATACTGGGCTAGATGGACATTTGGTCTGAGCCAGTATGGCCATTCTTATGTTCTGATGCTCTTATATTACATAGTGTGTATTATGGTTTAACAGGGGGATTGTCGGACCAGGGAAGAAGCAATGATTTTTGGCGTAGGACTTTGTGACAATGGGTTTATGCACCATGGTAAGTAAATTCTGCACAAGCTAAAGGTCACATTTTGTTGAATTCCTTCTGCATAGCAGGCAAATGGTACAGGGACCACCCCAAGAGATTAGAAAAGGGCAAAGGGAAAGTCAGTAAATCATTTCAATGTGTACCTGAAAAACAAATGTTTAACTAGGTTTTTCTTGCATTATTTTATATTAAGTGTGACAAAGCTCTGTCCTTGCCTCCGTGGGTCCCACGTTTCCTGGTGGATTTCGCTAGCCTCAGAGGCTCACTGTGACCCTCCACATAACCCTTTTCTCTCTAGAGACAAGGGTCACAGTCTACTGAGCCATTTTCATCATAAGCCAGCAAGGGAGGTGAGGAGAAGTTATTCTTCCTTGCACAGTCTCTGTTGTCTCCCAGTCTCAGTGATTAATCAGGGGGAAAAGGTGGGGGAAGGAGGGAGCCCAGGCTCACCCTCTACTCCGGGCTCCAGCCCAGGGACCCTAATAGTATCAGCTATGGGAGCTGACCTTTTAGAAACATGGCATGTACAATTCCCTGGGCTACTTTCCCCACAGCAGCCCTCACTTCCTCAAGCTCCACTTCATCCTTACCTCAGGGTCTCCTTCCTTGTGTCTGATATGATGTGTACTACTCAGCCTCTCCAACAGCACAACTTCCTCCCACAGCTCCTGACATGCACACCCACCTGACTGACTGGGAGGCTTTTAACTAGTTTCAGCCAGCCCCTGATTGGCTTCAGGTGTCTCAATCAACCTAGCATTCTCCCTGCCTTCTGGAAAGTTCTTAATTGGCCCCAGGTGTCTTAATTGACCTGGAGCAGCTTCCATTTCACTTAACCTGGTACCAGGGATTTGTCTAGCCTGGAGCTAAAATATCTATCTCCCACTACTTTTCTATAGCCATCTGGCCTTGCCCCGTCACATAAGTTAATAGTGTAGGGAAGAGTACGTACAAGTGTGGAGTGGGGCTTTTAGTCTTTTTTCAATCTTTTTGAAGGATTTATGGTGGATTTTTTCTTAATAACCACTTAGACTTTGGTAAAAATTCATCTTGCTGTTCAAATATTGAGTAAGACTGTAAGGATCAATAGGACTTGATAGCAACCAACCAACATTCCCACACAGTCACCTGGCAACAACTGTAATCTGGCCACTCCCTGTGACCCACAATCCAGAGGTTCAATGCCATGGGAAGTTCCACCTTGAGGAATCTGACTGATGGTGGTCTTAGTGATCCCAAATTGGCTCCTTATCTCTGTATAAGCCCATGGGGCATATCAGGAAGTGTCCAGGCAACAATGTGGACCCCTAGCTAGTTGCCATGACTGCCCCACTGCTCTGTTCCTGAACTCTGGGTAGTGATCTCAGCTCTGATTTGGATTCTGACTCCTGATTGACCCCTGAAACCCCAACACAGATCCTGATTCCTGGTATTGACCCACAACCTGATTCCTGGTTCTGTCTCTGTCCCTCAGCTTAACTCCTGACTCTGACTCCATCTTGACACTCAGCTTCACTCTTGACCCTGATACTGGCTTTTACCCCTGGCTTCGGTTCCAGAATCCCAATCTCCTGCTACTAGTCCTGTCTCCCTTTTGCCCAGGATCCTGGACTACCAGTAACCCATGTAGAAATTTGTCCCTGTGGGACACAGAGGCAGTGGGTTGTCCCCTACCTCGAATGTCCCACGGGGCACTCGACCACCTGGACAGGTTGACAGCCCGCAGGATGAACTTCCCATTTTGTAGACACAAGTGGTGCAGCTCTTGTCTGAGAACCAGACCTGGTGAGTACAGACCCCCAAGCTACTTTATGAAAACACTGTTATAGGCCCAGATGACACAGTACACAACCAAGAACCAGCAATTGTGAGAGCAGCTGCCTGGTTGCGGGACAAGAACACTGTGCCACAGTGCGCCTGGACTCTGGTCCAAGAGTCCCTATCCCAGAGCATTTCAATGGAGACTGCAAAAATGTAGGGCTTTCCTCAACCAATGGTGCCTGCTGTTCCTGCTCCACCCACAGTTCTACTCCATTGACCAGGCTAAAGTAGGGCTCCAAATTAGTCTCCTGAAGGGAGAGGTGCTAGAGTGGGCTTCACTCCTAATGGAACAACAGAGCCCAACACTGTCAAACTGGGATGCCTTCCTCCAAGCCTTCTCTATTTTTGACAACTCCCACCATGCTCACTTGGTGGAGGCAGCCCCCTGAAAACTATGGCAAGGGCAGGGACTGTTTGCCTCCTAAGCTGCCCACTTTAGGCAACTCATCTCCAATACAGAATGGAATGAAGCTGCCTAGCTCATGTAATCTGCACCGGAATTGGTAGAAGAGATCAAGGATGAGCTAGCTGTCGTGGAAACCCCGACTCATCTAGATGCCTTCATCAGTCTTGCTATATGCCTTGACAACAGGCTGAATGAGTGAAATGAAGAGAGAAAGTTGGCTTCACCACCACCTTAGACGATGTACCACAGTACCCATTTGTGGCCTAGTCCCAGAACCTATACAAATTGATGCAGCCTGTCATCATGTGACCTTGAGGAGAGGGATTACCACTGATGCCATGGCTTGTGTTTCTACTGTGGAGAATCTGGACACACTTGCCAGCTGCCCGTCACAGGCTCTTGCACAGAAAAAGTAGGGAAATGACCAAGCCGAGGCCCAGTAAGGGGGACCAGGCTGGTTGGACCGAGGGATATCCATCCCCAAGCTGCCCCCCACTTCTTACTGAAGCACATGCAAAGCACAGTGAGCCCAGCACTTGCAACTCCAGGTTTGCCTGCATGTCCCAGGGAAACCCTTACAAATACCCACTAATAAGTGCTCGTGGACTCTGGGGCTGTGGACAGTTTTATAGACACTGATATGGCACAAGCCTTAGGCATCCCGCTGCAACAAAAAATGCCCCACCCACCTTTTAGAGACTATAGATGGCTCGCTCCTGTCCTAAGGCCCAGTAATACTGGAAACGGTACCCCTGGATGTCATTATCCAGGACCATAGAGAGATCCTTTGGTTTGGATCTCACTACACTTCCTCATAATTCTCAGCATCTTGTGGATGGCCACTCATGACCTGCAAAGTCAGTTTCTGCACTGAATTCTGTCCGCAAGTTTGCCTGCATGCACCATCATATGAGTCTTGACTCCAAGATGCACCTCTCTATCCTGAGTTCAGGATGCTGCTGAGGAGTCCATAGGCCTAGGCTGTGGCCCAGCAAGGACCCCCATTAGACCCGACTCCTGCCCTATCTACCAAATACCATGACTACATGGATGTTTTTAAGAAAAAGAATGTGGCTGCCCTCCCACTCCAGTTTGACTATGATTGTCCGATTGAGCTGGAACCTGGAGCCAAGATACCTTTTGGCTTCATCTATGCCATGTCAGAGCCAGAGCTGACTGCTTTGCGATCCAGTCTCCAGGAGAATTTATCCATCCCTTCACCTCCTCTGCTGGGGCCTGAGTTCTTTTTGTTGAAAAGAAAGATGGGACTCTGCTTTTATGTGTGGATTACTGGTCCTTAACCAGGTAACCATCAGAAACCAGTACCCCTTCCTACTTGTTCTGGAATTGTTGGACTCTACCATCAGCCCAGGAGTTTACCAAGCTTGACTTGTGTGGAGCCTATATCCTGGTGTGGCTCTATGCCGGGGTTGAGTGGAAAACTGCCTTTCAAATCTAGTACAGCCACTACAAATATTTGGTAATGCCATTCAGTCTTACAGCCCCATTCCAGCACTTTGCAAATGAGATATTTCATGATAGACTATGACTCCTGGATCCAGGATATCTTGACAATATATTTTTCTTCTCAGAGAGCCCTGAGCAGCACGCTCAATGTCAGTTCCAGATCGGCTCCACTGACATAGCATATGTGAAATCTTGAGAAGTGCAGCTTCAACTAGCACTCCATGGAGTTATTGGGATACATCTTGTCCAGTAAGGGTTTCTGAACTGACTCCAGAAAGGTGGATGCTGTTTGGACCTGGGCAGCCCTTTGGAACATCATGGAGCTTCAATGCTTTCTGGAGTTCACTAATTTTTGTAGGCACTTCATTCCTTGGTTTTAAGATCAGATAGCTAGAGTCCTGCAAATCTGCAGATATCCGTGACTGTCTGCAGACCGTATTTGTGTATCACAGATCAGATGCAGATACAAATTTTGTTTCCGCACAGGGCTCTACAGATAGTCCATTGAAAAAGCTCCTCTGCAAACATACCCCCTTCACCTGGTCAAATGGCATTCAACCAGTTCAAGATGGCCTTCACCAATGCTTCAATCCTGATTCATCCCAGTCCAATGCGGATCTTTGTTGTTAAGACCGACACATCTAATGTTGCAATTGGGGCAATACTTTCCCAAAGATCTGGCTCCCAACAGCACCTGCTCCCTTGTGCCTATTATTCTCATAAACTCACACCAGCAGAACAAAATTATGAGATTTTAGATAAGAAGTTTCTATCAATGAAAGCCACCTTTGAGGAATGGTACCACCACCTCAAAGGTATATACAGATCATAAAAACTTGGAGTATCTCAGAAGGGTAAAGAGCTGAACCAAAGACAGCTTTGATGGGCCCTGTTCTTCACATGCTTTAATTTTACTATCACCCAGGAGCCCAGAACAAGGCAGCCAATTCCCTGTCCCAAAAAGGGGAATACCTCCCTGACCACAACTACTCCCACACTGAGTCACCACATATCCTCAGGCCCCATAATTTCCTGGATGCCACCATTCCCCAAACTTCCTGTCCCTAATCCATTCAGCTATGAAGGAGAAGCCCCTCCCCAGGGACCTTAAAACAGTAAGGAAGGAACAACACCCAGTGTGGGATTGTTTGCTTTACATCAAGGGCTGCTTATATATTCCACCAGGGTGCCCCCAAGTTCCCTCTGGGAGGTGCTGTAGTAATGTCAGGATCAATGGGACTTGAACTCAGGGCTGGAGGGTTACTAAGCAACCAACATTCGCACAGTACTACCCAGCAGTGGGTCTAACTGGGCCACTTCCTGTGACCCTCAATCCACTGAGGTTCAATGCCATGGGACGTTCTGCCTCAAGGAATCTGGCTGACAGTGGTCTTAGTGATCCCTGATTGGCTCCTTGTCCCTATATAAGCCCCTCAGCTCGACTCTTGACCCTGTTTCTGGCTCTGACCCCTGGCTTCAGTTCTGGAATCCCAAGCTCCTGCCATTAGTCGTGCCTCCCTTGCCCAGGATGCTGACAAAGACATGATTCCTGCCCAGATGCATTCACAGTTTCCATTAGACAACACTAATGCAGAAAGACCAGACATGGCACAAGAGTTCAGTAAAGGGAGAATGTGGGAACTAATGTGAGAAGAAAGTAGGAGGGATTGCTATTAAAGAGCAATTAAAGAAGAGAAAAGAGGCATTTGGTGAATGAGAAAGAGGTGAGTATTGGAGGAGCATGACCAAGTGTGAAGCAGAGAGTAGGAGAGAGTGCCCCGGGGAAGAGGAAGACAAGAATATCAGGAGGAGTGTCTAGAGTAAGAAGAGGAAAAATGGGGAATAAGAGATATATGTAGGGTTTTGAAGTTGATGACAAGGAGGTTAAATTTGATGCCATCAGAGGAGACAAGAAGCCAATAAGAAGATTCAAGGCATGGGTCTTCTGATTGAAACAATGGAAAAGATGATTTCCCCAACAGCGTTTTAGAGAAACTGGGAGAAATGGAAGAGGGGAGGCCTCAACTGCCGTTCAGCCATTATTTGTTTAAAATTTTTTTATTCATTTGAAAATACACAATTAGAAAGTGTAATTTATTATGAAAATTCAAACTCCTCTAGAGTAGAATTAACTCAAAAATTGCTTTGTAGCATTTAATCTATGGAAGCGCTTTACCAATATTTAACTGTTTTTAAAACATATGTTCGGGAATTCATAATAAAAGGATTAATCTTTGAATTTTGTATCATACAGTCTTAGAAAAAAGTGAATTTAAAGATGAGCCACTTCTTTTTCGCTTTTTTGCGGATGAAGAAATGGAAGGATCAAATATGAAGCACAGGCTTATGAAACATGATTTAAAAGTAGTGGAAAATGTCATAGCCAAATCACTACTGGTAAGTAAACAAATTGAACGATAATTTGTTTTGGCAAGCAATAAATAGGATTCAGTAATGTTAAATAAACACCACACATTATTGTTTAATGGAAAGGCAAATTGTGTAATTTTATTTTTATTTTTCAGATTAAATCTAATGAAGGCAGCTATGGTTTTGGTTTAGAAGACAAAAACAAAGTACCAATTATTAAATTAGTGGAGAAGGGGTCAAATGCTGAGGTAACATATATTAATATATAGTCTGATATTTTGCTCTGTTTTATGGTAATGTTCACAAATGTACACTTACATCTGTGTTTTGATATACAATTTTGAAAATTTAAGATAATGTAGTGTTTTAATTTGGCTGTTTTTTCGAGAAAAAAAGTGTTGTTTTTAATTGTATCATTTTTTGTTTATAATCGAGTTGTGACTTGCTATTGCTATCATTTTATTTTTACTTATGATTTCTAATATATGAACTTAGAGATACAATACATAAATTACAAATATATTTATTTTCATTTGCTACATAGAGTACAGTGGCATCATTATTCATGAGTGGCAGAAGCACTGTTGAGAAGAAAATGGGGGGGAGGGATAGCTCAGTGGTTTGAGCATTGGCCTGCTAAACCCAGGGTTGTGAGTTCAATCCTTGAGGGGGCCATTTAGGGATCTGGGGCAAAGATTGAGGATTGGTCCTGCTTTGAGCAGGGGGTTGGACAAGATGATCTCCTGAGGTCCCTTCCAACCCTGATATTCTATGATTCTATGATTCTATGAAATGTAATGAATGAAAATAAAACGTGTGTTACCCCTCAGACATAGATTTGATTTATTTCCCATAAATGTGGTGTGCGTCAAGGCTTTTATGGTTTTTATTTGTAATAATGTAAAATATAGAGTTTGAGATGTTGCATGAATAAGTTAGAGGGCTTGTGTTTATGTTAGCATTGCTTCAGATAGACCTCGGTGGGGTATATACAGAATTCACATTGACATGAATGGGACTTACTGTACTTATACAGAGAAGTGTGACAGTAAAATATTCTATCTGAGTTTTTATTTTACAAAAGAGATTTTTAGAGATGGTTTTAAAGGCCTTTACATCTCACTGTGGGATAGGGATTAGTATAAAAGGAGTCTAGGGCTGTCAAGCGATTAAAAAAATTAATCGTGATCAATCACATGATTAATTGCACTGTTAAACAATAATAGAATACCCTTTATTTAAATATTTTTGGATGTATTCTCATTTTCAAGTATATTGATTTCAATTAGAACACAGAATACAAAGTGTACAGTGCTCATTTTATATTTATTTTTTATTACAACCTAATACAAGTACTGTAGTGCAATCTCTTTATAATGAAAGTTGAACTTACATAGAATTATGTACAAAAAATAACTGCATTCAAAAATAAAACAATGTAAAACTTTAGAACCTACAAGTCCCCTCAGTCCTACTTCAGCCAATTGCTCAAACAAGTTTGGTTACAATTTGCAGGAGATAATGCTGCCCATGTCTTGTTTACAATGTCACCTGAAAGTGAGAATCACCGCCCTGCACTTTAAGCCAGGGGCCAGGAAAGGAGTTGTCTGGCTAGCCAGGAGAAGAGGGCAATACTTTCTGCCTTGTGGGAGGAGGGGAGATGTAAACTGCTGAAAAAGCAGTCAGCATGGTGGATGACTCACCACCTAGGAATGAGGGGTTTTAAAAGGTCAGCCTGGGCCTGGCCCCTCCCCCTCATTCACTCAGAACAGGCTGGGCAGCACCCACCCTTCCTCCCTATTTAGGTCACAAATATGCCAGGTGTTTAGCTATATTTGCTGTGGGCATTACGCTAGCTGCCCCGTTAAGGAGGGCTGGGAAGGAATTTTTCCCTTAATGCCATAATTTTTCCCCCAGGTGTGTGTTGGGGGGGGTTTCACCTTCCTCGCAGCAGGTTCAGGTGGGCTCTGTTCATGCATAGCATGATGGGCAGTAGGCCATATGTCGCAGCTCTTTATTTAAGTGTATAGCGGATGTTCAGTGCAGGTACTCCATAAATTAAGGCACAAAAGAACGGATAAATGGCTTGGAAAAGGAATTAAGGAGAGGTGCTTGGTAATTGAGCAAGCCAGAGGCAGTTGGGGACTCCTCTGATTGGTACAGCAGGGAGCCAACCCCCCCCATCATTATAGTCCACCTTAACCCCTCCTACGAGGGGAGGTGGTTGGTAAGGTCCCAGCACGGAAATTGCTGGAGGGACCTGGATGAAAACGGGGGAGAGGGGGGGCACTGAAAAAAGCACCTCCCCACCCCAGTGAATTGTGGGTGTTTTCACCTGAACTGCACATTTTATTTGCTGGGTTAGTCCCAGACATCTAATAATAAAGTTGCAGCCTGATTAAACCCATATCTAATGTCTCCTGTCAATCTTTTGGCATAGCCAGACAACAGGCTTTCGCATGGCACTGTTGTAGCCGGCATCGCAAGATATTTACGTGCCAGATGCGCTAAAGATTCATATGTCCCTTCATGCTTCAGTCACCATTCCAGAAGACATGTGTCCATGCTGATGATGTGGTCTGCTTGATAATGGTCCAAAGCAGAGCGGACCGACGCATGTTCATTTTCATGATCTGAATCAGATGCCACCAGCAGAAGGTTGATTTTCTTTTTTGTTGATTTGGGTTCTGTAGTTTCCGCATCAGAGTGTTGCTTTTTAAAGACATCTGAAAGCATTCTCCACACCAAGTCCCTTTCAGATTTTGGATGGCACTTCAGGTTCTTAAACCTTGGGTCGAGTGCTGTATCTATCCTTAGAAATTTCACATTGGTACCTTCTTTGTGTTTTGTCAAATCTGCTGTGAAAGTGTTCTTAAAATGAACATGTGCTGGGTCATCATTCAAGACTGCTGTTACATGAAATACATGGCAGAATGTGGGTAAAATAGAACAGGAGACATACAGTTCTTCCCCAAGGAGTTCAGTCACAAATTTAATTAACACATTTTTTTTTAACAGAGCATTATCAGCATGGAAGCATGTCCTCTAGAATGGTGGCCAAAGCATGAAGGGTTATATGAATGTTTAGCATATCTGGCATGTAAATACCTTGCAGCGCCAGCTACAAAGGTGCCATGCAAATGCCTGTTTTCACTTTCAGTTGACATTGTAAATAAGAAGCAGTCAGCAATATCTCCCGTAAATGTAAACAAACTTGTTTGTCTTAGCAAGTGGCTGAACAAGAAGTAGGATTGAGTGGACTTGTAGGCTCTAGAGTTTTACATTGTTTTGTTTTTGAGTGCAGTTATGTAACAAATATAATCTATGTTTGGAAGTTACACTTTCACGATAAAGAGATTGCACTACAGTACTTGTATGAGGTGAATTGAAAAATACTATTTCTTTTGTTTATCGTTTTTACTGTGCAAATATTTGTAATAAAAAATAATAAGATAAGGTGACCACTGTACACTTTGTATTCTGTGTTGTAATAGAAATTAATATATTTGAAAATGTAGAAAAACATCCAAAATATTTAATACATTTCAATTGGTATTCTATTGTTTAACAGTGTGATTAATCACAATTAATGTTTTTAATTGCAGTTAATTTTTTTGAGTTAATCGCATGAGTTAACTGTAATTAATCAACAGCCCTAAAGAAAACACAACAAATAAGAGGTATGGTGCAACCATAGGGTTATGTCCAGCTCTGTTATCTTTCCGTAATTCCGTTGTGTTTTGTCAACTGTCTAGTACAGCCCTGTTCCCAAGTGGCAATAAGACTTGGAGGATGCCTTGAGCAGCTCAGTACATCCTGCAACATTCTAGCTGGAAGTAGTTTCTTCCCTAGTTGGCCAATAATTTAAAGGGTCTCTTTGACCTGATGTGTTGTATATCTCACTCAAAGGTGTGAAACTCAAAACTCTGGAGTTTATGGTTTGTTTTTGTAACTTATGAAATATTCACATACTTCTTAAAATATTCAGCTAGCCTCTATATTTGAAAGTAAGTTTCAGTTTCTTTAGAGAACAACAGGAAGGGAAGTTAGTTAATTGGTAACAATAATAGTTGGCCCAATAAGATCTGTCACATTATCTACATTATATTAATAATTAAGACTATTGATTTGTACTTCAGCAGTGTCCAAAGGGCCTAGTCAAGATCAGGGCCCTTTATGCTAGGTGCTTTTGAAACTTGGAGTTTACAAACCACTTTTTGCCAGGTATAGGTTAGAGCTGTTTTGTGCATGCTGTGTGGAGGAGACTAGAAAGATTGTCTATATCACTGACTCCTAATGGGTTTGTCTATAGGCTGACAAAATCAATACAATGGTGGTTATAAAAACCAAACCTAGAACAAAACAAAACAGCAAGAACAAAACAAAGCAAAATGCTCAAGTGTTGTTTATTTTTCCCCCCCTAACCTAGATGGCAGGCCTGGAAGTTGGGAAGAAGATATTTGCCATTAATGGTGACCTAGTTTTTCTGAGACCCTTCAATGAAGTGGATTGCTTCCTGAAAGCATGCTTAAACAGCAGAAGGCCCCTCAGGGTACTCGTGAGCACAAAACCAAGGGAGTAAGTTGTGCTTCCTGTTTTGGGAATTTAAAAAAAAGATAACTCAAGTGAATTCTAGAAGGCAAATGTCTAGGTAGTAAACAGGAAAGACAGCATTGATTTAATGTTACTGCATTATTGGAATAAGGTGTACTATTGCTGAAAGGTTATTTAAATTGCTTAAATGGCCCATATACACTTATCTGAGCAAGCAAAAGTATTGTTCTTGAATAATAAAATGATTGATAAAATATCAACATGCCAGGCCCCACATCTAATCAATCTGCTTTAAGTTTATCTGTATAACATTTATCTGCCAACAACAGCAAAGGGAAAACATCAGTCACTTTTTACGTTCAAGTCTGTCATTTTAAATACACGTAGAATACAAATATAAATGAAGTTTCTCTGAATATATAGGCAATTTTGACCCACTTAGCTGACATTCTGTTTTTAACAAACTTCCTCTGTCTGGGGACTATGTCCTGACCTCACCAGGGTTAGACGCAATGATCTAAGCGGTGTTTTGCATTTCTGTTCTTGTTCTACAAATAAAGTACATAGGATTAAAAAGTAACCCCTCAAGATCTTTATTAACAGTTGGACTTTTCACAATATAATGTTTTTGACAATTCTTACGTGACTGGCGTCCCCTTAATGTAAAAGAAATATGGAGTGCCTGTTTACTGTGCAACTTCTTCAGTTCTTTTCATCTACGCCTAAGCCTTAAATACATGTGTTCAATAGAAACAGAGGAATGAAAGGCCTGATTTAACCGTTACTTACATCACATAGGTCCATTAAATTTAATGGAGTTACTCCTACTTTACACTAGCCTAAGAGAGCAGAGAATCAGGCCCAAAATTACACTAAGGACTAGATTGTGACTTGGACTACATGGCTGCACAGAACAGGGGGAATCAGAATCACCCTCCCCCTTATACACATACACAGACTAACCGTGGTGTGGGTCTGCACTGGAAGAAAAGAGAATTGTCCTCCCATCCACATCTGTGAGCAGGAGGGGCATCTTGGCACTGGGATGTCGCAGCTAATAAAAACCCACACAAAATAAAAGGGGGAAAGCAAAGAAAGAATTGTGTCCTAGAGGAGTGGCTCTCTGAATGTACTCTTGGGATGATGCATTTTATATACTACCTTTTGTTGGGGCTGTGTCTGAAGGCACAATATACCCCTATATCTTTGTAATTATGTATGTATGTATGTATTTAGGGTTTGTGTTAACCTTTAGTTTCTTCTCTTTTGTTTTTTGTTTTAAAAAATGTATTTATTGTTTCCCTTTCCTGGCACAGTCTGCAGGGTAAAGGCCTCTCTATTAAGAACCAAATTTAAAGTGCAATATACTATATACAGCAAATATAATAAACAGCTTTTTCATTAAGTTTTCATCAGGCTTCTGTCCAATATTTAAGGGTTCATATATGAAAGCAGTTTCCTGCATTCCTGGATACCCTATCTCTAAGACAACTTTATCCAGTGACTAGTGAGGGAAAACTATAGGATTGATTACTGTTTGTCTTAGCATGTGTTATGAATGTTCTCGAGGATGAGTTGTGGGATGGTTAATTGCAAAATTTACCAGTCTCTGCTAAAACAGTGCTCTAGGGAGAGGCTTGATCCTGAATTCCTTATTCAGGAAAAAACTCCAGTTGAAGACAGTGGAACTACTTGTGAACAAAAGCTTCAGGATTGAGTCCCATATTGGTAAAATTAGAAAAATTTAACATTTACAGGCTGGTTGGTGCACTGGGTCAGCGCTTTGGCCTTCACCTGTGTAGACCTAAGTGAAAATGAATATGTCTCAGCTTTTGTCCACAACACAAAGCCAACTTAAACTAATGAGTACTACAAGACTTGGATCTTACATAGTTTCCCCCAGAGTATGTGTCTGAAGTAGGGAGAGATGCTTATATAATGCATTTTGTGTGGAAATTTTACAAAGTGAGACCATTGAGTTTTCTCCAGCTTTAGTTAATATCCAACAGTCTTTAAAAATCTGTTTGTAAAATAAGTCAGTTTTTAGAGAGACGCCTGGGCTGCAAAAAGTTTTGGATTCAGGCTCTGCCTACAATTGTCTCCAAGTGCCAATCATATTTTCAGCTTCCCCTGCTATAAACAAGAAGCGAAGTAATGATGCTGGTTTATACTCAACAAAGTACTTTTTTTTTTTTTTACAATATTATATGAATGTATTTTAAAATTACATTTATCTCTTTCCAATTCTCAAAATTATTATTATTGTTTATTACCATGTGCCTAAGGGTACATCTACACAGCCCACATCAGCAAACCTCCCAGCCCAGGTCGACTGATTCGGTCTTGTGGAGCTCTCACTAGTTGGGCTGGAGCTTGGCCTCTGAAGCCTAAGGAGAGTATATTTTTTCACTAGAATTTGCTGATTCGTCAAAATTGAAATGTTCTCCAGAAGCAGTTCTATTCTGACAAAGTTCCAGCAGAACCTTGCCAGGTTTCCCAGCTCCTTGGCAGCCTGTCTGATGGACTTTTGGGAAGCTGAGAACTTCGGAGCTCTGGATTCCAGGCTCTCGGCTCCTCAGCAGCCTGGGCTCCCAAAGCATCTAGAGTCCACAGCTCCCTAGGAGCCCAGCAGTCACTGTATTCAGGAGTTGAGGATCGCAGGGCTACCAAGGTCTGTGGCTCTGTGGGAGTCCACCAGGTGGATTACCTGTGAGCTGGGGACTCCAGTGCCTGTACCTCTGCCCAGAATTTTGAAATTATTGGTTTTCATTCCAAATTGGAACAAAACCAATTTGAAATATTGAAATTTTCCATGAAATAGAATTACCTTTCTCATAACAGTTCAACTGTTTAGTCTTACAGTCTCATCATGCTATTATCTCTGGGCCAAGTTTCAATGTCCTTACTGAATAAGAGCATCATGATCAGTCCTCTATCTTTTTTGCTCCTATTTGTACTTCTGTGACTTTCTCTGTAATTCATAGAACTGGATGGAAATTTTTGTTAGGGGGCTTATTCCTTATTCCTTCACCCACTTACTTCCCTGGTCCTTCTCGCATGAACAGAGAGCAACAATACCCGAAGTCCAAAGGTGCAAACAATTCGATGTTTATTGGGGTGAACTTCCAGCAAGCATGATTCCAGTTTCCTTCCTTAGTATCCTCCTTCCCAGCTCTGACACCACAGAGCCTTACACCTGTGTCCCTGTTCCCATTCCTACCCTTAGCCAAACATGATTCCAACTTCCTTACTCCCATTCCCTGTTCCCATTTCCCCCTTTAGCAAAACATGATTCCAATTTTCTTACCCCCATTCCCTGTTCCCATCTCACACACCCACATGCCCACCCCCTCCCACCCACGCCCACCCCCCGTCACTTCCTCATTGACTACAGATTATATAGTAAAACTTGAGTTCTGCTTAGCTATACGTTAACCAATCATTTTCCTGAAATTTAACTCACCAATCCTAACATATTGTAACATGATTATGTAACCAATTATATCCCACCACCTCAATTAGTTTACACCCAGCAAAATTAATTATACAGCAGACAGGAACAATCACAGAACCAGACAGAGATTATACAGACAAACAACAGCAAAGTGGGAACTATAATGACAAAACAATACAGAAGTGAGGATTTCACATCCCAGCTATTGATAAGTGAGTTCTTGCCAGACAGGATGCTATCAAACTAAGTTTCCTTTTACATTTTCTAGGCACTTCCCTTTCTCTGGCCTGATAGTGCCTAACAGCCCAATAGCACCTTATTTCAATGTGACTAGTTTGGAATGTGAGGATGTGACTGTTCGCTTCCCAGCTTATGGCTGCCTCTGCTGCTTAGCCAAAGGCCTGAGCCTAAGCACAGGGCCACAAACTGTCACAGTAAGAGAAGGCCCTTACACTGGCAGACAGTGGTTTTGATTCTTTCTTTTATACCTCTATCACTAGCCAAGTGATAAGAATACACCTAAATTCTTAGAGTATAGGCCTTTACAGACAGGCCTGAATATCTATATCCTAACAATTTTCATTAAAATTCAGCTTTTTCTTAAAATTGGAATTTTGGGAGAAAAGTTTTCAATTTTTCTGAATTTTTCAAATATTGTCTATAGGAACTTCAAATGAAAAAGTTTACCCTGTAGTCCTTACTGACACATTTTTCATTTTTTGATAGCATTATGAGGTAAATACAGCAATAATGTAAAACAGAAATGTCTGAAAACCAGGCTCCTTCAAAGTGTTTCATATGGGGTCAAAAAATAGATGAACCCCAAATCGGTAGACACTTTTGAAAATGTAGGCCTTAATCTCTATTTTACTGAGTTCTCTTTTTAAAATGGAATAATATTCTCCTGCTTTCATGGGTATTGTGAAGGTAAAATCATTCTGTGTGTGAAATGCTTAGGTAGTCAGTGATGAGCACTATAGGACAGAATATAAATGAATAAATAGCTTTAGCCTAACCATCTTTCCTTTCCTTTAGCTCTTTGTATTTTTAAAAATTATGAGAAATAGCAGGGAGGAGTTTAAGCAGATTTTAACTACCTGTTATTTTTCCCACTGTGACCAATCTTTACTTTAAAGAACAAAATGTTAACATCTGATGTTTGATCTTAAATCTCTGTTGGTATTAGGACAGTGAAGATCCCTGACTCTGCAGAGGGGCTTGGATTCCAAATCCGGGGCTTTGGTCCATCGGTTGTCCATGCTGTTGGGAGAGGTAAGAAACAGGAGCTGAATGGGACCATGGTAATCATCTGTCTAACATCTTATTAGGCCTGGTCGAGGTCGATCACACTTACAATTATAATTTCAGTTTACGTATTCTTCCCTGTTGAGACAAACACCATTAACTCAAACTTCCTAATAAGATTTTTAATAGTTTTGAACCTTGAAAAATCTGCAGAATGTTATTTTGTTACAAGCATAACAGATGGTAAATAGGTAGTCATTGAAAATACTGTCTTATGAATAGGCTAGTATGGCTAAAATTTAGGCTCTCTTTTTTGGTTTTTACAAATACTTAGATTAGTTCTTTAAGTAACACTTATATAGGTTTTAAGGTCAAATATCCTTTACAGATTCAGGAATAATTATGAAATGCAAAAATAATTGATTCAGAAAATGGCATTTGGAAGCAACGTTCTGAAGGCTACTTAGTTATTAAATTACATGTTTATGGTCTGACTCATCTGAAAACCCTCTTGAGAACATATGTGCAGTTTGGACAAATCCTTTCATACAGCTCTGGGCTCCAGTGACTTAGACCATTTTACTAACTACAGATGTTTGCTCTAAATAGTGTTTTATGTCCTTTCTGTGACATGATTGCCAAACATTTGCCAACTCTTTAACCCAATGTACTCTGGATTGCTGTTCTGACACTGATGAGGAGCAGAATTCTCAAATTCCCTATCTCTGACTATAGTAAACAATCTGTTGTGTATTGTGAAATGCAGAGCTCATTAAAACCATATTTTTAGCCTGTGCTGTGGCAATTTACCCTCCTGTAACTGAGAAACCTTAGGGTATGTCTACACTACGAAATTAGGTCGAATTTATAGAAGTTGTTTTTTTAGAAATAGGTTTTTTATATTCGAGTGTGTGTCCCCACAGAAAATGCTCTAAGTGCATTAAGAGCATTAACTCAGCGGAGTGCTTCCATAGTACTGAGGCAAGCGTCGACTTCCGGAGTGTTGCACTGTGGGTAGCTATCCCACTGTTCCCGCAGTCTCCGCTGCCCATTGGAATTCTGGGTTGAGATCCCAATGCCTGATGGGGCTAAAACATTGCCGCGGGTGGTTCTGGGTACATGTCATCAGGCCCCCCTTCTCTCCCTCCCTCCAGGAAAGAAAGGGCAGACAATCGTTTTGCGCCTTTTTTCCTGGGTTACCCGTGCAGACGCCATACCACGGCAAGCATGGAGCCCGCTCAGCTCACCGCCACCGTATGTCTCCTGGGTGCTGGCAGACGTGGTACTGCATTGCTACACAGCAGCAGCAACCCATTGCCTTATGGCAGCAGACAGTATAGTAGGACTGGTAGCCGTCATTGTCATGTCCGAGGTGCTCCTGGTCACCTCTGTGAGGTCGATCAGGAGCGCCTGGGCAGACATGGGCGCAGGGACTAAATTTGGAGTGACTTGATCAGGTCATTCTCTTTAGTCCTGCAGTCAGTCCTATTGAACCATCTTATAGTGAGCAGGCAGGCGATACGGATTGCTAGCAGTCCTCTTGTACCATCTTCTGCCGAGCAGCCGTGAGATGTGGATGGTATGCAGTCCTTCTGCACCGTCTGCTGCCAGCCAAAGATGTAAAAGATAGATGGAGTGGATCAAAACAAGAAATAGACCAGATTTGTTTTGTACTCATTTGAAACCCCGCCTCCTCCCCGCCCCCCCGTCTAGGGGACTCATTCCTCTAGGTGACACTGCAGTCACTCACAGAGAAGGTGCAGCGAGGTAAATCTAGCCATGTATCAATCAGAGGCCAGACCAACCTGCTTGTTCCAATAAGAACAATAACTTAGGTGTACCATTTCTGATTGGAACCCTCCGTGAAGTCCTGCCTGAAATACTCCTTGATGTAAAGCCACCCCATTTGTTGATTTTAACTCCCTGTAAGCCAACCCTGTAAGCCATGTCATCAGTCGCCCCTCCCTCCATCAGAGCAACGGCAGACAATCGTGCATCTGAGTTGAGAGTGCTGTCCAGAGCAGTCACAATGGAGCACTCTGGGATAGCTCCCAGAGGCCAATACCGTCGAATTGTGTCCACAGTACCCCAAGGCCGATTTAAGCGCTAATCCACTTGTCGGGGTGGAGTAAGGAAATGGATTTTAAGAGCCCTTTAAGTCAAAATAAAGGGCTTCATCATGTGGACGGGTGCAGGTTTACATCGATTTAACGCTGCTAAATTCGACCTAAAGTCCTAGTGTAGACCAGGGCTTAAACCAAGCAGTATGATTAAGTTTGGCAAAGCAACCAGTTGAAAGAACCAGTCAATTTTGGCCTGAGCTGTGGTTCCAGAAACCAGGTCTTCAAGACCAGAGAGTCGAATACTCACCAGTCTGTTAATTACTTCCACACCTGGGTCTCAGTTCAGCTGTCCATCCTTATTCATCAAAGCATTTAAGCAAATATTTTAGTTCCATTGATCTCGATGGCACATAAGCACATGCTTAAGTGAATTGCTGAACCAGGATTCACTTAAGCATATGCTTAAAAGTTTTCCTGAACTGGGACCATGGTTTTCTGGAGTCTGAATAACAATTCTGCAGTCTTGAAGGATATTATTTAATGGGATCTGTTTAAGCTTTGTCTCTAAATCCAGATATTTGTTGGAACCACATTAGCTGATTGTGGTGTGATTTCAAGACACTTAATTTAAAGTGCAGCTATAGTCCGTAAAAAGTGATTGTTAAAAATCATAGTATGGGATTCCAAATTTATTTTGACAGGTTTCAGAGTAACAGCCGTGTTAGTCTGTATTCGCAAAAAGAAAAGGAGTACTTGTGGCACCTTCGAGACTAACCAATTTATTTGAGCATCTGATGAAGTGAGCTGTAGCTCACAAAAGCTCATGCTCAAATAAATTGGTTAGTCTCTAAGGTGCCACAAGTACTCCTTTTCTTTTTGCAAATTTATTTTTTCAATGCATTCCTTATCGAATTCAGACAGTTTGCAAGTTAAAATATGATTCAACTGTGCAGGAGGGCCCCAAATATTTTGTATCAGCCTGGGGGCAACATGTTCATTCTTCATTGGCATCTTTTGTTGACAATCTCAACAGAGGAGAAAGGAATAGAATATGCCTGGAGACCAAACTAACTTCGAACTCCAAGAGCCAGTCCCTCCAGAATAGGTTTGAGGCATGCTGGCAAGATATTTTACACTGCCATTACCTTTGCCATACTTGTTCAGTGGATAGAGCACTTTTTCAAGGTTATCACTCTACTATGGAAACAAATCACTGAAATGTATATTTTATTTTTTATTCAAAGAGTATTCTTCATTTTTATTCACAATGATTAAAGTTAATAAAATTTCCTATTCCAATAACCGTTGACTGTTTTTTGGGTTTTTTTTTAAACTGGAAGCTAGGCATTTTCCATTACACATGAAATGGTAAAGAGATTAAAATAGAACTGAATACACAGAAATGCCCTTGGACTTGGATTTTTCACATACTGTTTGACAAGAAACTCCTCGTCTGCTTTAAGACTTACTTTGAATTACAGGGAGAGTTGTCAGAAAGCTTCTGATTTTTATTTATCAATAGGAAATTTGCTGTAATCAAAGAGCAAAGGTTTAGGACTCTGAATGGTTATAGTTATTTTCAAATTACAGATTTTTTTTATCCTCTTTTACTACAAAGGTCAAATCTTCCCCAGCATTTTCAGCTAGGTGCCTGGGGAAATTTAGCAACAAACTGACCATGGCCTCAGTTGGTAGTGTTTAACAATTTTTCAGAATTTGTTTCACAATAGAATTTGACTATGAAATGAGGAATATTAAGGGGTTTTTAAAAAATAATTCTTACAGTAATTTAGTAATTACACACTAGAAGCTTAAAATTAAAATCTGTTTCCTTACTGAAATAACATTTCCTTAATTGCACGTGCACACTGGTTTGTTATTGTTGGGTTATACATCAGTACTGGGCTGTTGACAATATGTTATTTCTAGTGAAATAGTGCATTACATCATATTATTTTTATAAGCTATTAAGTATTACATGAACTTTGCAATCAGACACAACAAAACCAACAGAGGATATCTTGTTCTGCAGTATTTTATCAGGTGAAATTTATTCTAAGACAATTACAATTAAATTAATATAGCTGAGGTTTGTAGTAGCTCTCTTTGAACAAAAAGAAAAGGAGTACTTGTGGCACCTTAGAGACTAACCAATTTATTTGAGCATGAGCTTTCGTGAGCTACAGCTCACTTCATCGGATGCATACCGTGGAAACTGCAGCAGACTTTATATATACACAGAGAATATGAAACAATACCTCCTCTAAAGTGATCATCAGGTTGGGCCATTTCCAGCACAAATCCAGGTTTTCTCACCCTCCACCCCCCCACACAAATTCACTCTCCTGCTGGTGATAGCCCATCCAAAGTGACAACTCTTTACACAATGTGCATGATAATCAAGTTGGGCCATTTCCTGCACAAATCCAGGTTCTCTCACCCCCTCACCCCCCTCCCAAAAACCACACACACAAACTCACTATCCTGCTGGTAATAGCTCATCCAAAGTGACCATTCTCCCTACAATGTGCATGATAATTAAGGTGGGCCATTTCCAGCACAAATCCAGGTTTTCTCACATCCCCCCCACCCCCATACACACACAAACTCACTCTCCTGCTGGTAATAGCTCATCCAAACTGACCACTCTCCAAGTTTAAATCCAAGTTAAACCAGAACATCTGGGGGGGGGTAGGAAAAAAACAAGAGGAAATAGGCTACCTTGCATAATGACTTAGCCACTCCCAGTCTCTATTTAAGCCTAAATTAATAGTATCCAATTTGCAAATGAATTCCAGTTCAGCAGTTTCTCGCTGGAGTCTGGATTTGAAGTTTTTTTGTTTTAAGATAGCGACCTTCATGTCTGTGATTGCGTGACCAGAGAGATTGAAGTGTTCTCCGACTGGTTTATGAATGTTATAATTCTTGACATCTGATTTGTGTCCATTTATTCTTTTACGTAGAGACTGTCCAGTTTGACCAATGTACATGGCAGAGGGGCATTGCTGGCACATGATGGCATATATCACATTGGTGGATGTGCAGGTGAACGAGCCTCTGATAGTGTGGCTGATGTTATTAGGCCCTGTGATGGTGTCCCCTGAATAGATATGTGGGCACAATTGGCAACGGGCTTTGTTGCAAGGATAAGTTCCTGGGTTAGTGGTTCTGTTGTGTGGTATGTGGTTGTTGGTGAGTATTTGCTTCAGGTTGCGGGGCTGTCTGTAGGCAAGGACTGGCCTGTCTCCCAAGATTTGTGAGAGTGCTGGGTCATCCTTTAGGATAGGTTGTAGATCCTTAATAATGCGTTGGAGGGGTTTTAAAGTTGGGGGCTGAAGGTGACGGCTAGTGGCGTTCTGTTATTTTCTTTGTTAGGCCTGTCCTGTAGTAGGTAACTTCTGGGAACTCTTCTGGCTCTATCAATCTGTTTCTTTACTTCTGCAGGTGTGTATTGTAGTTGTAAGAAAGCTTGACAGAGATCTTGTAGGTGTTTGTCTCTGTCTGAGGGGTTGGAGCAAATGCGGTTGTATCGCAGAGCTTGGCTGTAGACGATGGATCGTGTGGTGTGGTCAGGGAGGAGGTATTGTTTCATATTCTCTGTGTATATATAAAGTCTGCTGCAGTTTCCACGGTATGCATCCGATGAAGTGAGCTGTAGCTCACGAAAGCTCATGCTCAAATAAATTGGTTAGTCTCTAAGGTGCCACAAGTACTCCTTTTCTTTTTGCGAATACAGACTAACACGGCTGTTACTCTGAAACCTCTCTTTGAACAGTTTTTCAGTAAAATGTTCTACAGGATTATGATATGGTCCCCACACTGGGGATCCTCTAGCATGGAACCCTGAATCTTTGCAGAGTTTCATTGACTTCAGAACTCTATTGTACTAGCAATAGTCATGCAAGAATCAATAGTAGCAGATACTGAGGCAGAATGAGGCACTTGGACTGTATGTTTAAAAGGGGATCTTTTAGCATGGAATTTGGCAACTTTCACAATTGTTTTTAAAGGGACTGTGGCAGCTGCAGCAGGTCTCCACCCTGGACAGTGCATAATTAAAGTGAATGGAATTAACGTCAGCAAAGAGACTCATGCAAGTGTTATTGCCCACGTCACAGCCTGCAGGAAATATAGGCGTCCAATGCAGGTAGACAGATTTACTGCTTATGCCCTCATTGCTCTACCCATTGGTTTTTTTGGTTTTTTTTTTGTTCTTTACATCCAGTTGTGGGGGGGGGGGGGGAAGGGAGGAATAAAGGGGAGGTGGCTAATTAAAATATAAAAACTGATGAGATTACTTAATATTTATTGCTGACACTCAAGGTCTCTTTAAGTTCTGCTTCAAAAAAACTAAGCTTTTAACTAAATAGTTTTCTCATGTTATCTTTTTAAAGGATTATTTCCAGCAGTATTATAGTTCTGTGCAGAAAACACCATGAAATATATTCTCATCTGGATGGAGTGGAGTTTATACAGCTAGCTGTGTGCTCATGAGAACATAGCACAAACAGTTGATCTTTTTCCTGACTTTTATTAACACTTAGCACGTACAGAGCAGAGTGAATATATCCTGTCTATAAAAGTTTCTCTACACTTCCATTACAGTGCAGTGTTAGAAATAAATATTATTTCAAGGATTCTGAGTTTTGTTTTTTTATATGAGCAAATAAATTATTCTTGCTTTTAGTTTAGAAAGAAAATTGAATGTCCACAGTAATTGTCATGATAACACAAAACAGCTGGATTCAGTAATGTAATCTTTCCGCGTTCTTGGAAATTCTTCATAAACTGTGAACCAGTTAATTAACTTCACAATGTCTTTCAGTGAGTGTTAAAATCCAATTAAAACTAAATGTGAAATCCTCCTCTCAGACTACTGAACAGATATGAGATACGCAGCAGAAATAGGGGGTTGTTTCAACTGCATCATGCAAATACTGCTTCATGTTTCTTTGGATTTCTTTGTGCTCCAGTACAGAATTGAAGCAGTTACATACCATGTGCAGACCGAGTGCAACAGATCTCTGAATTCTGGTCAAAAGGGGTAGTTTTACTCCCAGACACAGTAGCATGGATTCTTTTGCCCTAAACTGGCTAAATTAAACGAATAATAAGTACTTTATACCTGAGTGTTTCACAGATGTGGATTTGCTATGGAGATGGGTGGGCATCCAGAAAAGGAGAACTTAAAAATTGCTTGTATGCCTATCATTAGGTGAACAATTACTGCAACTGGATGTGAATTCCGTTAAAAGTTGTTCGGTATATCACAAAATATATATTCTTCTTCCCACATATAGCATTTCCTGGTGTTTAAAGAAAAACTCATCAGGCTCAGAGCAGCATGCTGAAATTTCCAAAGATAACACAAATCTCTACAGTCTGAGGGCTGTGATATTTTGGTTGTTGGGTTTATTGTTTGGGTGCTGAGTGGTTCTGGTGGCCTGTGATATATAGGAGGTCAGCCCAAATGATCAGGCAGTCCTTTTATATAGCACTCTTGGAAAACCTGGGTAAGAATAATATGTTTTGGAATAGTCTTTTGTGTTAACTTTAGTGATCTTTCTAGTGTCTGATGCATCACACTGCAGTATTAGTGATTTACCTGGCTGGTAGTACTTCAGCACAGGAGCATCCATTATCATTTGTTTTAATTGTCAAATGCTTGCTGTTGGGGATCTTCCCAGTCCCTCTGAACATCCTGCCTTGTGAGCCAATGGATGGGTTTCAGAACTGTAGCCAGGTGTGGACAGAACATGGACAGAAAATATATCTTTCCTGTGCACCCTTTTCACATCCACTGGAGCTGGCATGTCTCTGACTACCTTGATCTTGTTGGGATCTGCTTTTGATCCCTCTGCTATGAGTAGATGTATATATATATATTCTCATGCTGTTTGAGTCACACTTTTTCTGGGTTCAGTTTTATGTTCTTGTCTCTGCGTTGCTGCAGAAACTTGTAGTTTTCTGTCATACTCTTGTTCAGCTTCTGTATCATTGCTCCCTTCACCTACAAAGAGGATATCATCTGCAATTATTTTCACCCCAGGCAACCTTTCCAGTGCTTGGGTGAGTCTTCTCTGGAACATCTCTGGGGCTGGACTCATGCCCATCAGCTTGCACGGCCATCTGCAGTGACCAAATGATGTTGCAAAGTTTGCCAGCATACAGGACTCTTTATCCAGCCTTATGTGTCAAAACTCATCCATCACATTAGAGACTACAAAGATTCTAGCTTTGGAAAGTTCTACCAAGATGTCATCAATTGTGGGAAGTGGATAGGGACATCTATTTAATGCCTTGTTCAGGGGTTTTAGGTCTATGCAGATAAGTAATTTTCCTGACTGCTTCTTTACCATTGCCATGCTTCTTACCCAGCCTGTATTGGCCTTTACAGGTGCTATGATGTGCCTGCGCTGCTTACTTTCATGCTCCTTGACTACTGGATTACAAAGTACCACTGGAATTTTCCTTCATGGTAAACTCAAAGGTTCCACTGTTGGGTCTATTTCCCATTGAAGCTTTCCTTTGAGGCACCCATTGCTTTTGAAAACATCCCTATATACTTCTAAAATTATCTCCATTGTCCATGGGATTTCCCTTTTTGCTCTTTGCACTCTAGCTATAAAATTCTGATGCTGCACCTGATCCAACCTGTGGCTGGTATGTGTATTGCCCAAGAGGGGTTGATGGTGTTTATCATCATCCACCACCACAATTTTCTGCTGTATCATCTGTTATTTTTTGGGTTAGTGATTGAGGTCACTTTTTCCTATGGACAGCATTAAGCTTGCATTGTATGTTATTAGATTGTGTCTGCTCTCTGTGAATGGTATGTTTGATCATATTGCAGGAGGCCCCACTGTCCAGCTGAAATCGGACTATTAACACTCCTGCATTCATGGAGGTTGGCATTGTCCCTTGCTGCTTTCCTGTCCCAACAGCCTGAATGTAATATGCTTTCAGACTCAAGGAGATAATAATGACGTTATCAACACTGTCTGATGTGCCATCTCCCTTTTATACATATCTGATTGAATTTTTCTGGGACTGTTCTCTGCTCTTGTACACATTACTAAAACGATTCAACTTGCCACATTCCTTGCAATGTTGTCCTAGTGCGGAGCACTTCTCATTGACCTGCTCATGCTGTCTTCCACAATTAGTGCCCCTAATTATGTGTATGGAACCCTGGCTACTTGCTCTCCTGTGTTCTTGACTGCATGTAGTTGTGGGGTTTTTGTGCCTCCTAGGGCTCTCATTCTTTCACTTGAGGCTTCCGCTCCCTGTCTGTTTAATGTGAGACCACCTTTCTGGACTAGCCGCTCCTGCAGTATTTCTTGCAGGTGGTGATCCCAAGTGCCACAGACTGTCCTTTCCCAAATCAGGAAGTCTGTCAAGTCTTCAAAATTGCACGTAGTAGCCAGTGTGCGTAAGGCAGAAATATAGGGATCTAGCCATTCCCCTTTGGCTTGGTCTCCAGTGAAAAATCTGTGTTGTGTCACAGTTTTGTTCTGCTTTAGGGGCGAATAGTTTCCCAGGGCTCCTAGGGCTGCTGTGAGGCTTGAGGCAGTGGTGTGCTTCCGAGGGGTGCAGATCTCTCTGCCTTGTTCCCCAGTAAGGTAAAATAACAGTTTTACTTTCCTACTGATGTTGTCCTCTTGCATGGCCAGATCTGTGTCCTGCTCAAACTCCTCCTTCCACTGGGTCCATCTCTGGTCTAAGCTTGGATATGCAAAATCCAGGGCTCTTGGGGGCTTCAAACTGAGTTACATGGCTCATGCTGCCACCTGCTGCACTGCAGAGAACTCACAGCTCAAATGCTGCCACCATGTTTCATTCACAAAAAGTGAAACCAAACGCAGGTTAAGTTGAACAAGTGGAACTTTAGTAAACCCTCTGCACTGCTCTGTCCATGTGGCTGAGTTGCTTCCTGCCTAACTCCACCCATTCCCTGTCTTCTTAGTGTCCCTTCAATAACAGCCCCATCCAAGGTATATGGCCCTCTGACTGCAGTTCCACTGATCATAATACAACATCTATTAGTTTCTTTGTTGGTGACACTAAATGTGACTTGACAGAAGATCCTGTAGAGTTTGTGCATGAGCTTTAGCTTACATTCATTATATAGCACTCTTGGAAAACCTTTTTAAGAATAGTATATTGTGGAATAGTCTTTTATGTTAACTTTTGTGATCCTGCACTTTCAGCAAAAAAAAATAGAAATAAGTTTCAGATAATGTTACTCCTTGTGATAGGCTGTCTAACGTCAGGTTAGGAATAATAAGGAACCTGTTCTGTGTCAGCCAGAATAAGGCACCCTTTGAACCAACAACAGGTACTTAAATCTCAATTTAGATATGGTATAGATACTGACTGAATGCTGCCCATGTGTCTGAGCAGAGGAGACTTGTAAAATACTCTGTAGTCAAATCAGCAACATCTGGATCAGCCTGGGAAGCAGAATGGATTCAAAATTATTTCCTGTGGCCTGCTTGTGCACAACAAACTGCAAACAATCAAGAGAGCTCCTTGGGAAGATTTTGTCCAAAAGTTAAAACACAAAACGTTAAGCACTGACTTTTCCACTCCCCCCACCCCCCCCCCCCGCCCCATTCCTGTTGCTTTCCTCCAGTCTCTTCCTCCTCTATCTTTTTTTTATCCCCACCCTAACATGCTATGTCTGTGTAATATTGTCTGATTTTGTACTGTTCGGTCTTGCAGCTTTGACAAGTTGTAAAGTTGTGTAATTGAATAATTTTATTGGCTATCCTGTGAAATGTGCAGTATTTGGTAACATAAACAGCTGTATGTTGATTACCTTTTTGTATTTTTTATTATTTCTTTATGGAAATTAATTAAAAAATCACAAAATCTTAAGCGAAATATAAATAGTTCAGAGTAAAAGGTAAAGAAGATTCAAATGTGGATTTATCTAGAGAGAAAATATGTCTTAATCCTTCAGGATATTATACTAACCATTACTTTGCAGATGATTATAAAGGTAATGAATGTATATTGCACCTTAACCAAGCACAACCTGGTTTAACAGTTTGTTTAGAAGACATACTGAAGATTAACTATTGGCATCCTTGCTTAACTTTCATTTCATCCCACAATTTTCTCTTTACAGGCTGTGATTTCAGTTCAGTCACAATGGAGGATTATTTTTGTCATTTATTCTGCTATGGTAATTGGAGGGTGAGAGATTGATAGGTACATTGCATGTCAGCTATGGGGATGAGAAGGATGTTCAGCCTATTCTATATTTGATTAGCATCATACATTATTAAATACATTGAAATATTAATTTGAGCCCAAAGTATCTGATTATGCAGCCCCGCACTGCTGGATACAAGTGAGATCTAGTTTTGTGCAACACTTCTGAGGAAAAAACATATGGTCTGCATAGAATAGAGGCAATTCTATACTGAGTATAGGCATGAGGATTCCTACAGACACCTCCAGTGAAGTTCTGCAGGTGCACATAATGGAAAGTGGGAGTGGGTTTAGAGGCAAGCGGATGTGTTCTGTCCTCATGGCTGGTGTTCGACAATCAATGCAAGCTCCAGTAGGCGTGCAGCAGATTTAGCGAGATAGAAGTTGGTTCTGTTGTTTTTATAGTTTCCTGTTATAATAAGGCTTTCAGTGTATTCAAATAACTTTTTTAGGTATGCATTAAGGGCATTTTTATTGACACACAAAACAAAGTGTAGCCATATTGCATACACTGTTTAAAAAAATGAACTGATGAAATTTCTGTTATCAGTACAGTATGTTTCCCTACAACTGGTTTTAGATAAAAATCAATCTCACTCCCCTGTTATTTCCAATGTTATTGTTTGTTTTCAAAATGAAGTGCAGATAGTAATTGATAAACATCCTGTTGCGGTAAGGAATTGAAATAACTATTTCCTGTTTGAAAGCAGTGAAATGAGAAAGCTTTGATTATACATGCAATTTTTTTTCTTTTATAGCAAGATTCCATACAGTGGGTATATAACAGTATAGAGAGTGCACAGGAAGACCTTCAGAAAGCGAACTCCAAATCCCCTGGAGATGAGGGAGGAGATGTCTTTGACTGCAAAGTGGAAGGTGTGATCTTTATTTTTTGCATGTCATCCTTTAGAATTTCTTTCTGTTAGCAAGGAACATAGACATTTCTTCTTCCCACTAGGGAAACTAAAAGCAGACTACGGGTTTTAATTTACATAAGGATTTATATGCAATTGCATATCTGACATAGAGGAGAGTTAAAAATACCATCACCCTATAATACTATGTGAACTATCTGAACAGTTCCTTGGATCCATGAGAAATTTTATAGTATGGCATTTTCATTAAAATCTCATTCATTTGCATTCATAGGACATCTTATCCTATAAATTATCTGGATAACATTCACAAATAATAACAAAATAATTTAAGGCTAATTAAAATTAATTCAAAGTTCTGTTGGATCACAAATAATGAGTCACATATCCTTCAGGATACTTTTCAGGCAAAAGTTATGAGTCTACAAGGATGATTGAGAAAATGGTTAATAGCTGACTTTCAATTAATTTCTCGGGGCAAATGCTGCCCTCAGAGTTGTATGTGTGTCTCTGGAGCAAGAATTCAGTCACTAGTGTTAGAATTCTACAATTTAACAAGTGTTTCCAACTTTCCATTCCTTTGTAAGAAAAGCGAAATGTCTCCCTTTACAACCAATGGGTTGTGTCATAGGACAATTCCAACAGGCTTTCTCACACTTCATCTAACTCAAGCTTTAGTCAGCCCCAGACCTGAGTTTGTCTGAGTTTGAGTCACCTAGTTGGCAGCTGGGATTTCTTGATGTTCATTTCAATAGAAATTATCTAAAGATTGCTACTTCCATAGGGTCTGCAGTGATTGTTCTTTTATTTTGATTTAGGTCTGAAGCAGCCAAAACAAAACTAACTATATTAATGTTCTTTGCTGTAGAAGTAATTGACAAGTTTAACACAATGGCAATAATTGATGGGAGGAAGGACCATGTGAGTCTGACTATTGATAATGTTCATCTGGAATATGGAGTGGTTTATGAGTATGACAGTACTGCTGGAATAAAATGCCATGTGGTGGAGAAAATGATTGAACCAAAGGGCTTTTTCAGCTTGACTGCAAAGGTATGAGGCCTATGTAGAAAAATTACATTTTTATGTGTATTAATTTTGTATTATACTTAATTCCACTGAAGCCACATCTATCTGTTATTGATTGATAGGGTTATAAATGTTTTATTTCAAGTCTAATATTTGCAGGTCACCTTTGTCCCGCTGACATTTTAAATCATGACTATGTGCTCAGTAAGCAAAATAAGTTATGTTGTGGTCATAAATTGAACATCTAAACTCAACAAATGCCAAAGAATTCCTTTTTGCTATTAAAAAAACTTCAAAGAAGTTCAGAGACTTATTGTAATTGAACCTCAAAACTTTTTGAAGGGTCCGGATATGAATTGTCACATAAAAATATTCAAGACCCCATTTTCAAATGGTCTGTAACCTGACTTCCAAAACTGCAGGTACAACTTTCTGAACTTAAGTTTCTGTGCATACACAAAAGTAGCAAGGTGCCTAGCTATTTTTTTTGCATATTATCTCCCTCCGAATAGACACAGAAAAATGCATCTGCAAAAACACAGATTAGGAAAATGTTGCACAAAAATTTTGAGGCTACTTTGGAAATTTTCACCTGAATACTTCCAAAGCCGCAAAAGTGGGACTTCTTATTAATAACATGGGAAAGATGGCTTAATTAGAGCTGTTGCATTTTACATCTAACTATTAATTCATGTACAAATACAGTTTTTATTAATTCCTGTTTTATCACTTACACAGTTACAGGCAAGGATAAATAAAAATTTAAAGGCAAAACTTTGTGGAGCGAATTCAATTTCAGGTTATCTTTTCATTGATTAAATCATTGAACCACAGGGATGTTATTACTTGCTCTAATAATACTGTATGTAGAAGTGTTTGTAATTTAAATATTTTTTACTAATCTTGTATTTTTAGGATTAATTTTTCCACTGCCATACTCTGAATATTTGTAAGAAAAATAGAGTTTTCAGAACGCTGACTTTTGGCCTCAATTAGTACAACTACTTTATACTGAGTCAAGCCAGTTCAGGAATTGGTTGCAGATCTTCAAGGAACACCTAGGTGCTGCAGAAAGTGGGGCTGGTTAATCATTGTGTCTATCTTCCCTCTAAAGATCCATCTACAATTAAGATGGGATGTAGACTACAGACACTGCCTGCCCAGCTAGCACAGATCTAAATACCAGTGTAGACAGTGAGGCATGGCTTAGACGGGTAGAGTACCCTGCATACCTGAACCCTAGGGTGTATACCCTACGGCAGTGCTTCTCAAGCTATCTGATGTGAGGGACCGGCAATTTTTTTTTCCAGTGTGTGCACAGACTGGCAGCCGATGGCTTGCGGACTGGCAGCGGTCCGCGGACCACCACTTTGAGTAGCACTGCCCTACGGGACTCTGTATATGCTCAAGCAGTGCATGCCACATCTTAGCTGATATTTTTAGCAGTGTATTGTCCTGCTGCCTCCCCCTGGTGGAACCTTTCCCTTTTGCCTCCCTGCTGCTGGAGCCTTTCACTGCCACTTGTAGCTTCCTGCCACAGTGAAAAATGTGGCACGTAGTTACATATGTTGTGCCTGTACTCTACATGCCTCCATAAGTGTAGACATAGTCTAAGTCAGTACTGACCACTGTCTCATTACGGTATCGGGAATCACTGTGCTACTGCAAAAACTGGGCTTGATTCTTAACTGGATTGCACTGTGTATAATTGTTTACACTTGTGCAAAGTGGGTGTATAACACTACAAACTCAGAATGGTAGCATTTTACTTCTGCTTTACACTGATGCACCAAGTGTAGGTTAATCAAGAATCAGACCCCCTAATGTCTTTCATGTGGGATGTTAAACAGAGATTATGGTAATTAAAAATGTCATGGCTCTTGATTCAAGTCCAACTTGAAATTTCAGAAAGTGGTTTCACATTCTACTAAAGTAAATTTCTCTGCACTTGCAGTTGGATATAATACTTTTCTTCATTTTCTTCCTTGTGTTGCTTTGCAGTGTTAAATAGTTGTATATTCCTTGTCAAAGGCAGCTATGTTTCAGTAGGGTGGGGAAGGGGCCCTTCTGCATTGCTTTCCTACACTGAGGAGGGATGAGGCTTAATTAGTGAAAGTTTGTAAAGCAGGTCAAGGTTCTCAAATGAAAGATACTATAGTAGTGCAGAGTTTTACCATTATTAAATATATAATGAAAATGTGATCCAAATGTGATCCAAAGATCTGCAGAAGATTTGGTACTGTGTTTTAATAAACTTCATTATAGCAATAGAAGAAGCAAAATATTCTGAAGAAAAGTTTTGCATTATTAATTAGATCTGAGGAAACTGAAGCTTTTAATTATGGCCAAAGCAACTGGGAATCTTTAATTAATTTACTGACTGAGTACAGTAAAAGAGTTGTATCTTAATGAATATGATAATTATTGGCTCATCTCATCTATTTTGAACAAATAGTAAAAATGACTGAGCTGAGTTCTCATGTATGCTGATTTAGTGAGTCAGTGTCACATAATCTGTCAACAGGTTAGTTTTATTATAAATCTTGTAGCTGATAAATAATTGAAATGAATGCTTGCTAGCAGAAAATGTATTTCAATTTCAAGAGAGACATAATGGTTACATTAAGAGTGATAGAACAAGTCCATAACCACATGTGGTCATGAAACAACTGTACGTAACATGTATAGTTGGAGTTGCTACTACTAAGACAAGGAGTTACTAAAAGGAACCCTTTTCTCCCCAAGCATCATCCTTTCTAGTTACGCAGCGTACCTAAAATGTTAAGGGACAATTGATTTTCAGGTTTTTTTGCTTGTAAATATCAGGACTGATAAGTAATGTTCATTTTAGTCATCTGACTTCATAATGTACTGCCATTGTCTTTATTACTACAGATTCTCGAAGCACTGGCTAAAAGTGATGAGCATTTTGTGCAAAACTGCAACAGCCTGAATTCTTTAAATGAAGTAATCCCCACTGACCTCCAAAGTAGATTCAGTGTAATTTGCAGTGAGAAAATTGAGCATATCTACCGAAGAATCTCTAGTTATAAAAAGGTATGGATCAGAAAATGTCTTGAAAATCTGCTATTTCCTTGTTGTGAAAGAACCAACAAAAAGTAATGAATTTGAATGTCTATTAAACATTTTGGTTGCAATGACAAAACTGGTGATTAAATTTGACCCACCCAGATGCCTGAGTACCTAAACTGAGTAATTGCATAATGTTATTGTGATGGGGTATATAAACTGATGAGGAAGGTGCCAGAAAGTGCTAGTTCCACCCGTCTGGTTTTGTCAATCATGCATAATAGGTAGGAGGCTTTTAAAATGCAGGAAACTGCAGTCAGTTGGGGTGGAAGGAGCAGGACTGCTCTAGATAGGAGACTGCTGTAGTGAGTCCTGGAGCCACCAGGGGAATACCCATCTGAGAGATCTTCACCCCCACCCTACCAGGGAGTGCAGTGAGCGCCCAGAGAGAGACTAAAGAAGTCTTGCAAGGGACAGGGGCCCCTTGTAACCAGTAAGGAACCAGGAGCTGGAGCTACCCAGTGCAAGTACCTGGGAGTGGTCAGGTTCTCCCAGCATCAGGGAGAAAAACCTCAGGAAGTCCTTTACATATACATGTGCCCTTCATTGTGCCTTTCATTCATGGGATAAGTCTTATCCTGTCTTCGTCTTGTTGAGCATATAGTTGTTGAGTAACCAACTTGTTAACCAGAAATTCTGTGTATTTCCTATGAAAGACCAAAAGCACTCTGTTTTGTAGCATTCACAAATCTAGTGAATTTTCAGAACTTATCCAATGTGAAGCGATATTAGTGATATTAAATTCTTATCATATTGCATGTTAATTTAAAATATAAAGTTGTTATAATTTAACTCCTCACTTGCAGACTGTAGTTTGAGTCAATCCTTTCCACCTTTCCTATTGACAGACTGCACTGTAAATTATCGGACAACTGTTAGCTAACCGTTGAGTTTGTAAATATGTCAAAAAGTGTATTGCATATTATAAGTAAATGAGTGAACACATTTATTGAGTTTGGTCTGTAGTTTCATGCTACTTCTGTGTGACTAGTTTAACTAAGTTAGGCATAAACTAATCAAACCTTTGTCCATTCCCCCAAGTGAACCTGCATTTCTCTCCTCCTGACCTCTACTTTCCTCCCTCCCTTACCCCAATTATTTGTGAATTGTGGGGCCAATCTGAACTAGGTCTGATACCTCTCCTTTGAACTGTTTGCACCCTCTGTCATCTGGATCTAGAATGTGAGATTTGCAAACTGATCTGTTCTGGGATTTTGCAAGCAAAAATTCAAAATAGAGGTGAGAGGTTTAATGTGGACTCTAACAGACCCTGCATATTTCTGTGAAAAATTGGAGGAGGGATGGGACAGAGGTCGGGGGGGAAGGGGGAGTTGCTTCCTAGTGGGTAATGACCCTTTCTTAGGGTATGTCTACTCAGCAGCTGGGAGGGTGCTCCCTAATGAAGGTGGACAGCCCTTGTCCAGCTTGAGCTAGCACATTAAATATAGCAGTGTGGCTGCGGTGACATAGGTGGTAACTTGGGCTAGCTGCCCAAATACAATCCTGCTGAACCCGTGAGTACATATGTGGGTGGCTAGCCCAGGCTCCCACCAATGCTGCTGGAGTCATATTGCTATTTTTAGCATACTAGCTCGAGCAGAGCCATAGTGTGTCTGTCTACCTACACTAGGAAGCACCCTCCAAGCTGCTGGGTAGACATACCCCTGGAGACTTTGGCCAGTATAAGTCTAAATATCCAGACTTTCTTATGTCTATCTAAAGTGAACGTCAGGTTTCTTGAGATGGGAGCATCACTTATTTTAACCACGCAGTCAGAAATGTTGGTTTAGAGGTTAGGTAACTAATAGCTGTCTCGTATACCTTTCCTGTTTCCTACTGTGAACTGAGTATGATCATAGTCTCTATGAACAAGAGTGAAGGACAAGAACAGCAAGAGTTTGAGTCTAGGTTGAAGTACAATGGCACAGCCATGTTGGAAAACTTCACAGAGCCTTTAATTGCAATATCTGCTTCTAGCCAGTGTAATCCACACTTTCAGAAGCCTCAAACTCACCCTCACCAAAATCAATAAGCATGATGCAGGTTTACAGTTTAGCTCTTAATGACTGTTAGAAACGCTGTTAGAGTGTTCACATTCCAGGAATAGATATACCCTTCTTTTGGCAAGATAAATGTAACCATAGTAACAAAAGTCTCTTAGAATGCCTTAGCTTTACTGTAAGTTTCACTGTGAAAGTTTGAACTCCATAAATAGAAACCCAGTGGCTTTCTGCAGTTCCTGTTATTTCAGAATATTTTGCTTGTAATACACTTTGAGTTCAGTGCCATGGGCCCCAGATGTTTCTCAATACATGTATGAAAATAAGTTTGGACTTCACTTATGACCTGATTAAATCATAACCAGGCATTTGGTCTCTGTGGAACAGGATGTGTGGGAGATTCAAATATGAAATATGTACTGCTTGGAGGAACATTTTTACCATTAAATGTTCTTAGTGCCTTCTTAATTCTTGGTACATTCTTCAGTTTTAAACAATTCCATAATTGGACTTTGTGTAATCTCCAGGATCCTGTCCTAGATACAAATATTTAAGTATAATTCATTAGTTGAATCCTGGTTGTACAGAAACGTTTATCAAGCTTACACAGAGTCAGTAGCATCACAAGAAAACACACGTTTAAATCCCAGTACATAAAGCTACCACTTTATGGGTGGTGTGGGAGGGGATATAGTTTGACTCAGTTAAAAGATACTTAAAGCCAGATAATCAGCGAAATGTACATGGACATTTAATTGGGTAAGCACTTTGAAAGGTAACTTTTACAAATATTCGGATGCATGAGCCTAATGATCAGCATTGTTTAATAATGTATGTGCCCTGCTATGCAATATTTGAACTGGAGATGAGATATGATTAAAATACTGGCTACTTGCAGGTGATGATGGATGTTCCCACTAAAATCTCCCCTGACTCTAGACTGTGAATTGAAAGGGGGGATACATGTTTTCACATAAATCCTAATCCAGTTGTGTTTCACATCATGTGGTCACCTAATTTAAGATTTTATAATGGTCTTGCCATCATGATTGTGATCTAATTCTCTGAAGTAACACTACTTTGGAAAGGGGACAAAAAATACTTACAGGAATGAACAGAAGATGGAATCTTCATTGATTCAGAGGAACACTGTAGAAGTAAAATAGATGTACTGCCTGTGGTTCAATGAACATCCCTGCACTGTGTTTCAATGTCATTTTTCAAGATTTATTTCTCAGAAGTCTGTCTTATTTAACCAGTTCTTCAGTTTTCAAAGTTGAGGCATTTTCTAATTCCCAAGTGTAGCAAAGTCTGTAAAATATGGACATTGTAGTTTGTTTTATTGTCATTTTGCAGCAACTTCATTCTCAATGTGATAAATTAATAATTTTAGCTTCCAGTTTTATACTTATTAGAAACTAAACTAAAGCAAATATCTGAGAGTGTTTTTAGAAAACGCACACTTGAAAATACCTGAAATTTGCTATGTTTGTAATATTGAAAATGGTAGACCCTAGGGACCTTCCATACTTTCTGGAGCTCATCCTCAGAAGCACAGAACTTCAAATGGGACTAATATTGAGACATTTGAAAGAAAATAAATTGCTTAAATCCTTATTAGAAATCTATTTATAACTTGCAAAAAATTACCCATAATTTGTCTTAAAAATAAAAACCTAAAATCAGAAGGAACTCCTTACCTCCTCCCAAAAGATGGAAATTTGAAAGGTTAGGCAGAATGCCTAAAGCATTTTTAAGTTTTATTTTCCAACTGGCTACCTGTGCACAGAAAACTATTAATCAGAACATTCTTCTCTTTCTTACTTCTAGTTTTCACGAGTTTTAAAAAATAGAGCATGGCCTACCTTTAAACAGGCTAAGTCAAAGATCTCACCACTTCACAGCAGCGATTTCTGTCCAACCAACTGCCATATCAATGTAATGGAAGTCTCTTATCCTAAAACCTCAACTTCTCTTGGTAGTGCCTTTGGTGTGCAGCTAGACAGCAGAAAGCATTCTTCACAAGAGAAAGAAAACAAAAATAGTGAGCAAGGTAAGCCAGAATGCCCACCTATACTTGAACGAAGCATATCTACCAACTCTCCTAGTTTATAGTTTTCAGATTTAACCAGTTCTGGGCACTATCTCAATATTAAACATAAGGACACTCCACTAAGAAATGGCTATATATGGTTAGTATGGACTTGCTTATAAATTTATAAGAAATGCTTGACATAATTGTGTACTAACTCTTTCCTTTCCTTTCCTTACATGGCACACTAATATGCAAAATTGTAAGTCCCTCCTCTTTACCAAGAACAGATTAGCTAATTTTTCCACACTTATACTTCCAACATTGAATTTGTAAGATAAAATATGAAAAATTAATATTTTAATCAGGTAATTATTTCCAGTTATAGGTTTGACTTATAAAAGTAATTTGTGTTGAAAGATAGAAGATGTTAACATTATTTACATCACATGCAGGTAAATTGAGTCCCATGGTTTACATACAACATACCATTACCACCATGGCAGCTCCTTCAGGACACTCCCTAGGTCAACAGGAAGGCCATGGTCTGAGATATCTGTTAAAGGAAGAGGACTTAGAAACACAAGATGTCTATCAGAAATTGTTGGGCAAATTGCAAACTGCACTGAAAGAGGTGGAAACGTGTGTCGCTCAGATAGATGAGTAAGTAAATGATACCATCTGTATATGCCTTTAATGTCCCATGGGATATACTGATAAATCAAATATGGGCATTCCAAACTATGGATGCATAAACTTGCCTGGTCTAATCTGAACCCATCTGAACGTTGATGCATGAGATCAGCAGAAGCAGTCCCTGTTCATATTCAAGTAGAGCTACAACGGTCCAATGAATTTAAGTGCAGACAATTTTGAACTTTGTTCTCTCTTGCTCTCTTTTTTCTTTCTTTTTGAGCCTGACATAGTTTCTGCTTTGCTTCATTGAACCACTATAGCTTTTCTCTTGGATGTGGAAACAGTAACTGTTTGGGGGGCGGAAGAAGAGGCAATATGAGATCCATGATGTCTCTCAGACTTCACTAGGACAGAAAACAAGAGCAAAGGAACAAAATATATTTTTTATTTAAGTTTTGTGGCACTACTGAATGGCTTTAAATTTAAACCTAAATTTGATAAAAATACAAATACTAGAAGCTTTTTTTAACCAATAAATTAGATTCACTTAGTCAGCAAGAGCTAATATTCGATGATTTCCCAGGAGCAGAAATACTTGGAACTAGAACAGCTGCTTCCAAGACCAGTAAACTTTTCTAAGGACTGGCCCTTGATCAGTGCTCAGGAAGAAAAATAATCAATACCTCCTTTGGAGGTAAGCAGTGATATACATCTTGTTTCCAAAGGGCTAAACTGTGTTTTTTCTCCCTCTCCTCCCTCCCCCCCCAATGTGTGCTGTATAGTGTAACAGGTTTGAAGTGGTGAAATGAAAGTAAATACAGCTTTGGGTTTGCAAAAGAATGTAAGAGATAAATCTTCACTCCCCATGTCTTTACACATAATTTAACTAATTAATTTAGCAAATCAGAAATAAAATCTTTTCATTGCTGATGGGCACAAAAATAAAGCAGCAGCATTATAATGTCTTAAAATTGTCAGTCTTCTTTAAAGTTATAAAATGATCAATAAGTTTTGTATCTGAAGGCTCAATTAATATTTCAGTAGTTTCTGTTTACTTAGGCTATCATTGGTTTCCCCTTTGCTCCCTAGAGTTTGCATAAAGCCTCAGGGACTTCTGAGCTGTCTTTCATACGAGCATGAACGTGCTATCTATAAGAATATATAAATTTTGTGGGTCACACAGTTGCAAACGTAAACAGTACACGAGAATCTGGATTAATGTTTTTCTTCATTAACAGAGTCTCTGTACATTGATCTGGTAGGAAAACCTGTATAAGGGGCAAAGATTTATTTTAAAGGTTTTACACTTTACTGACTCTAAGCATCAGACTTTTCATCTTTATTCCCTGTGGACTTTGACTGCACTGCAAGAGTTTGATTGTCTTGGAGGAAAGTAGTTCTGTACAGGAAGCAGGATACCCAAGTGGCCTACTTAAAAGCTCCAAACAGGAAGAATGGGAAAGATGGAGGCCAGTATAGTCTGGGTGTGAACTGTTAATACAGTACACCATATACTGCTTACAACACATCATGACCATTAGTTCTTAGGGTGAAAGAGGGAATGTTAAGAAATAAAACACATAAAATAATACAAAATAATTAAATCATTCTGCTTGAATCAAAATATTTGAATGTGTTCTTTAATAACCGTGTGTGTGTGTGTGTATATATATATGTACATTTAAACAAACTTCAAGTTTATAACTACTGCAGAATTCTTGTTCTTAGATTTGCTTTATGGTGTAAAAATAAAATTAAAATCAATATTTGCTGAATTGTTTACTATTTATTGTTATTACTGTGATTGGTTTCCAATGTACTCGGTACTGTACAAACAAAAGATGTTCAGGGAAAAAGTCTGTGTCACAGCAATTAATTTTAGGGATTGAGAATGCTATACAAAAAATGATCAAATGATTTCTTCAGAAACTCTGGATGGGCCTGTTGAATCAGTGGCAAAACTTTCATTAACTTCAACAGGGCCAGATTTCATTGTGTGTGTGAGAGAGAGGGAGATTATGCTTAATATATAGTACAAATTATATGCTCCCAGTGGTACAGAAAATTAACATTATAGGGATAATCTACACTCTGATATTGTGCCTCTCAAATGACGATTTTAAAACCTTTGAAGAACTACTTAAATCTCAATCAGTTTCTGAGACAATATATTATTTATAAAAAGAAAAGGAGTACTTGTGGCACCTTAGAGACTAACCAATTTATTTGAGCATGAGCTTTCGTGAGCTGAGCTGTAGCTTATGAAAGCTCATGCTCAAATAAATTGGTTAGTCTCTAAGGTGCCACAAGTACTCCTTTTCTTTTTGCGAATACAGACTAACACGGCTGTTCCTCTGAAACCTATATTATTTATGTACACTCAAAGATTTTATGGCTTAACATTGAGTTAGTTTTTTAAATGTTGTGTTACACAGAATGTCTAAAACCATTGTGTTAGCAGAATTCTGAGTGTGAAGGAAAATATGTTCATTCAGAAAAAATCACTTCCCTATATGGCAATCAGTCAGGGTGTGCTGAGTTTGGGGAACAAAACTTTGCAAAGCAGTTTGGAATTGCATTGATTTCAAGTAGATTATATTCATCAAGGCAGTGGAGAGATTAGTAGTTTGGTACTGATGTGGCTCTGTAGCTGAACAAAATTATTAGGTAAGTTATTATCTTTTCATTAGTGTTTAGAATTGGTATATGCTGCTTTCCTCAGTTAGACCTGTGCGAATCTCACAAAACGGGATGTAAAATTTTACGGTGCTTTTAATCAGAAATGTCCTTCATTAATTTTGATTGATAAAATGACTTTAGCATCAGTGATTTATTGTGTAGGTAGGTTTCAGAGTAACAGCCGTGTTAGTCTGTATTCACAAAAAAAGAAAAGGAGTACTTGTGGCACCTTAGAGACTAACCAATATATTTGAGCATAAGCTTTCGTTATTGTGTAGGTAGAGAGTGTAAAGAAGGGAAATTATATAAACTGCCTTTTAAAAACCAAAGAGGATATTTTCAGTCTCACGAATACAAGTGTTTTGCAGTTTCTCTTTAGAACTAAAATTTTAGAGGTAAAGATGTCATATGTAAAGATATGATATCACCTACACTTGTGTCCTTGAAATATATTTGATCTTGGGTTAGAAGCAGAGCACTTGCCAACACTACCAAGCCAACCGTGGTGACAGCTGTTACTTAACAACCACAGTATAGTATAGGGATACAATTCAAAGTTTTTAAACTATTTTTGAACATAGCCCGGCAACTGCTAATTTAAAAGATATCTAGAAAGGACTTGTTGCAGAAGTATAATGCTGCATCTAATTTTTTGTACAAATGTAATTAATGTTAATCTTCCTTTGCACTTTTGATTTCCAGTAACTGGAATTAAAATAACATTGCATATATTAGTTTTTTCTTTCAGAAAGTCTATTAGAACATTTGTTTCACAGGATGAAGATGAATAACTATATAGTAGTATGACATTCATTGTGGTATTTGTACATGTTCAGGTGTAAAAATTTCCACAGCTTTTGGGTGTCAGTTGATCACATCAAGTTTCAAATGCTGCTCTACATAGAGGCTTGTGGATAAGTACAATAGAACCCTGTTTATCTGACTCTCCACTATCTGGCTCTCTGTATTAACCGAACGACCAGTGCACACAGGTCCACAAGTGAGCGATCTCTCCTCTGGCTGCTAGATGACATTGCAGCCTTGCACTTTCTCATTCTCCAGATTATCTGAATTTTTTATTTATCCAATTTGGCCCTGGTCCCAATTAGATAAGATAAATGGGGTTCTGCTGTAATCAAATTAATAACGGTATGATTCAGAGAGGTGCTCTCCATAAACATGATAGCACAGCACTACCTAATTGGTTATGGCAAATCAAGTGACACATCACTTTATTTGACCAGTTATGGTGGTGTGGTCATTTGGAATGTTGATGAAGGTACGGACTTTAAAATAAAATTTCCCAGAACCTTTTATTAGAATAGGGTGGAATGACACATGAAAGCTAGTAAATTGGGTACCATAACCATTTAGTAAGTAATTACCTGTTTTTGCACAGAGAAATGTTTCCTGCAGTTCATTTCCTAGTTTTGCATATGCAAATGTATGGTTTATGTTTATAATTAGTCACCAAAAGTTCAAGGATATTCTATGGTAACTTTTTTTCCCCAAGAAGAATAATTGGTTTATTGCAAGACTTACTGTTTTGTATTGCTGTTGTGTTGCTTTGATTGAAGCATTATTTTGACTCATTAAACTTTTGTTGTTGTTTTTTACAGTAATGTCTTTTATTTATTTATTTATTTTTGCTTTAGTTGGCCATAATTTTACAATGGACATGAGTCGGAATTAAAAAACAGGTTTTGTGGCCTTTTCATAGGGAACAAAATAATGGAAAAGAACAACAGAGAAATGTAGTGTTGCATGTTGGACGACAATGATAATTATCATCAGCTTACTTTTGAAAAAATGCCTTCATCCCGATTAATTTTGTCACATTGCAGCCTTCTCTCTTCAATAACCTATTCTCCCAAATCAGAACGTAAAACACCCGAGCCCTTAATACCAGCAGACAGTGACAATGAAAAGGGAGAAAGGAATGGGAAAAGGGTCTGTTTCAATGTAGCAGGTGATGAGCAGGAAGATTCTGGTCATGACACCATCAGCAACAGGGATTCATACAGGTGATTTTACTAATAACCTTTTTTATTTCAATCCGTCGGATATAGCAGCATAAGGTGCAGCATTGTAGATTTTCAAAATGGCTGTAAAGAATATCAGAATACAATGGTTATTACTTCTTGTAAAGGGAGAATTTTATATTTTAGTAATCAAGATGGATTACTTTCTACTGTAATACAAGTCTTTTCCTGTAATAATAACTAGAGATGGACCTTTACCAGAACTCTGGATCTGAATATCCCAAGAGGATCATAGCCAGAACAGGATCCAGAAATGGATCCATTTGCCAGGTTCTGATTCAGTCTGCTGCAGAACATAGAAACAGACAGTTTTGGCTATTGTGTTCTGTAGTGGAATTAGGCCCAAACAAACCCCAAAATGTTTGTCATTTTGAGTCAGATGCCAGATCTAATCTCAATCACAGTTAAAGACCTGAATACAAATCTGAACCCCAACATTTAACTCTGGTAACATCCCAGTCTAAAAATTGCTGGATCATCCTATCTCTAGTACTAACAATAATAAAAGCTTTACTATGGAATTAAAATATATAATACTTTGAAAAGGAAGCAGTATTCATAGCAACTGTGGACATTTTCCAGTACTTAGAATGAAGAATTGATTATGTAAATGCACTTGATGTATATTCAGTTTAACTTCACTTTGCAATTAAAACAAAATTATTTCTATATTACTAGGGTCAAAAAGTAAAAAAGTCTCTAAGAATGGTGGAATAGTAGCAGCACTCTTTGTTATTTTGAAGACCAATTTCATGAGCTAACATTTGATTACTGCAGCATGGCTGGTGTGAATTTCAGTTTGGTGTCTGAAGTGGAAGGAACTAAATGCTTCTTAGATCATCTGCTTTAGTCTGATCCCAGCCTTCTGTAATCTTTTTAACATGTGTGTAAAAAATACCCCCCAAACAAACAAACAAAAAACCCTCAGATTCCCATGCACATAATACCAATCATTAGTGCAACTGTCAGTTATGACAGTGGATTTTTTAAAAATATTATCTAATGTAGTTAAATGAACTACCAGCAAATTCCAATAAATCACTGTAAATGCAATTGAAATGTTAGAAAAAATACCACACCCTGTCTCTTTGTGAGAGCAGACATTATGGGAAATGTAGGACATTTTCATTTATTGGTTGTGTTCTTATGCAAACTTCTATTAAACACTACAATACAATACTTATGCAGAAATATATAGCTAAGAAGTGGTTAAATCTGATTTTCCCCCATGTTTTATTTTTTTGTGCTTTGTTCAGTCCCATTTTAAATGACTCTAGTGATGAGCTTTCCACCATTCTCCCCTGGGAGACTTTTCCAAAGTCTGTTAGAGCTCATCATCAGAAAATATTTCTTAATATCCAGCCAGAAATTCTCATTTCTCTTAGGGACTCTATTCTAGAAACATTTTGTTACCAACATGGTTTCAGTCATTTAGTGGACAACACCCTAAATTATATACCCCTCATACCATCCAAAAATGCTCTTCCCTCTCTGTGCTATTAATGTATATGTAAACAATATATAAATATAATAATCATATAAAATGGAGTCCCATTTTATGAACTTTGTCATGCATGATATGAAGCAGGGCATGCATTTGGAACTCTGCAGCCATTTTAAACTAAATGCTTTTATAGAATAGAATTTAGAATCATAGAGTTTAAAACTGGGAGGGACTGGCCGACCATCTAGTCTGACCTCTTGTGTATCACAAGCTGCCAAACATCCTTCAGCCACCCCCATACCAACCCCAACAGCCAGAATTAGACCAAAGTATTACAGCTCTCAGGAGATTCAGCTATTATGTGCCACTGGCAGAGAATAAGGGACTGAGATGCATCAAAGCCCAGTGCCCCTGTAATTGCAGGAAATTGATTGAGAGGTACCTTGATGATGAGTTTCTCTTACATTCATGGGACATTGTGGACTCTCTCTGCTAGATAATTACTTTAACACCTGAAAACTCTTACATTTAAACCAAATACTCCGTTGCTGATTAGATGATATGGCTGACTTGGTTGCTGTTACAGCCTGTGGGTTCAAATCCATTTGGAAATATGTTTACAACAAAATCTTAGATTTTTTCCCCTCTGTGTGATATGGATGAATTCATTCTCACTCCTTGTAGAGAAACACAAATTTGGGGTAAAAAAAAATCACGACTGTACAGTGATGTGGTATTTTTGTTACTGCAGAGAAGTCTCCATATAATCAGATACAGGGAGAAGTAAAATCCCCACCACTACCACCTGCCCCCTACTCTATTTACACAGGAATCCTGATCCTGCAACTGGATTCAGATGAGTAGACTTTTGTACTCACAGAGAGTTCCAGAGAAGTCACTGGGGCTTTATGCAGGTTCAGAAGTCCACCAGCACTTATCCTATTGCACTGCCAGTAGCTCATAAACCATGGTTTGGTTAAAGGGAGAAAATTGTCATTTTTAATCTTGTTGTTTAATAGTTTAATTATTTTCATAACCTAATTATGAATACTGTCTGCAAGTCTTAAACCAGCATGCTTCATCATTTATAAGAGTTATGGGGTAGGTAGGTGTACAGAATTTAAATGTGGAGAAATTAACACATTTGAGGCCACATTTCCAAAATCAGCCACTCATCTGCATGAAAAGTTACTTGATTTATATGTGGAATTGTATATTTTCAATGTGAAACTACTTGTTCACACACATGAGGTGGGGACAACTGAAGCATCTATTCTGAGAATCTAGCCTTCAGAGTCTTATCAGAAACAAATAGTAGTTCTTGCATATTTTGTATGATGTCATAAACTTAAAGTCAAGGGTAGAGCATTGTAAAAGACCTCGGCAAGAGAGGAAAGTTTAAGAAAAAGGAAAGGCACTATACTTTTTGTGCTTTGATATAGTACATGTACATCATGACATACTATTTTGTTTTGTTTTTCAAGTGATTGCAATAGCAACAGGAACTCCATTGCCTCATTCACCAGCATTTGCAGTAGCCAGTGCAGTTCTTACTTTCACAGTGATGAAATGGACTCAGGTAAGATTAAAAAATACTCTACAAATTCCTCTGTTCATTCCTCTGGAGATAGTTCTTGTTTGTTTTATTCATAGGCATGTCTGTCTTCATCATGGTAAGTGGCAAGAGTATAATATTTCACTTCTGTTTAGTGTATGTTGCACTTTTAGCCTTTCTGTATAACAAAGCCAATTTTCCAATCCAGCTGAAAATATAGTGGATTAGAAAAAGATGTCAGAGACTCATTTTAACCAGCTTTCCACTTTGGCCTGGGCAATGCATTATGTTGCTCAAAAGAAGAGGAATTTTACATAAAAGGGAGTTCTGTCTCAGACAGGAGACAAGACTCTGAATACAAAATACCACTGTGTACAAATGCTGGGGAGAGTAAGACCGCAGAAAGGCACACTCACCATAATGTTCTATTCTATGTCAAGGTTGAACAAATTTAATTTAAATAATCATAGATGCAAATTCTTACCTATTTGCCACTTGATAGTTCCTTTTTAGTTTTAATGCGATATTTATCCCTCTTTAAAAACTACTGAACTATCAGAGCCATTTCATTAGCAATAGCATTAAGATTGTGAAATATTTGCAGGGTCCTTATAAAAATGTTAGGTCAGTGCATTCAGTGACTCTGGTCTAGGTGGTATAAATAGCTAGCTGATATTTCAGCGATCTTGCATTTTTCTTTCAGAGAACTGTGGTCTAGTTGGTGGAACACAGATCAGGGACACCTGATTCCTAGGTTCTGTTCCCAACTTTTACAATATGGCTTGGGCATTTTGCTTAAAGTTTCTGGTCCTTAGTGTATACAAAAGTACAAATAATACAATAGTTACCTACTTCACAAAGGGTGGTGTGTGATTTATTGTACAGATGCCATTTTGTTATTGTTGTTTACTTTTGCTACATTATGAAAATAGTATACAAAAGAATCTCACAGATTAGTGTAAAGAGCTAAATAGAGAAGGTTCTAAAAGCTTAAGCATCAGCTTGTATGCATAGCAGAGTAGCCCAGATCTGTATGATTTTGAAAAGTATGCTGAGACCTGAATTATGATTTAAAATATTTTACACACAGGTGATGAACTTCCCTTAAGTGTTCGGATTTCTCATGATAAACAGGACAAACTTCATAGCTGTTTGGAGCATCTTTTTGGTCAGGTATGAGATTTTTTTTCTTAGACTGCTTAACAGTATTGGTCTATATTCAAACCATCAGGGAAAAACTGGCTGCAGCAAGTGGGTTTTTTTTTTCTGCTTCTGCTTTCCACTGTTTACTTGAATGATATGTATTTATTCTTTATCCTTTCCTGGGCTACTAACCCAGAATTACTGAAGAGAACAGTTCCTTAGATTTATCCTCACAAATTTTCTAGTCTTGTGTTGTTAGCTACAGCCAACATTTAAATTAGTTACAAACAAATATAAAGTAATCATTTTTTCACTATTCATTTTTTCTCATTCAGAGCAGATCTTTCTAAAATTGCTATGAAAAAGGCAAGCCACTCACAGAACTTTGATCCTAACAGGTAGATTCAATTGTCAATCTTCTGAAAGGACCAGCTGTAATGAGGGCCTTTGAACAAACCAAGTTCTTCACGCCAGGTCGAGGCCTGCAAGGTAACATTTAAAGCTAACTACTAAAATCAACAGGTGGCACAAAGAAATACAGGGCACATTTGTATGAATATAAAGTATTTGATTTGGATGTTAAAGAACAACCCAATCTTTTCTGTTCATGTTATGTTCTGGAATAATTGCCATTCAAAATTTTTATTACATAGCTATTACTATTCTTAGCTGGTCCATTTTCACTTTCCTTGCATAAGGCATTTAGGTGTTCTTGAAAGTTAAGCTGAAATTACAGCCTGTGAATTGAATATAAAACTGCTGAGGCTTTGAAGCAAAAAACAGTGTTAACATATTACAAGTGTTTTTCTGATTCATGTTATTTCTGTCCTAGCAACTGAAGCACTTTCTGATTATATTTAACTATTTATTTCTGGCCTTTTCTATCTTTGTGGATTTTTCTTCTTGTAAAATGGTACTTCATAAATAATAAGCAACACTTCAGTGTGAATTCTTATTCTAAATATTAATTATTTAAAATCATTCTAGGTGCAATTTGTGGCCCTGATCTTGCTGAGAGTTATGTACAGGATTAACTTTGGGTCTACAACATGCTTCTATATGTGTAGGTCCAAAGTTAATCATATACATAAGTGTTAAGTCTAAACTTAAACGTGTGTGAAGTGTTTGCAGGATTAGAGCCATTTAGCAGGATTGATACACTTTTAAAAATTGCTACTGAAAGGCTTTTTGGGTGAACTGAGTTTGAAAAAAGACTGTATGGGAGATTGGGAAATACAACTGAATGTTGTGTGGGTAACAGAAATAATGCTACTATAAAATGCTTTGGTTTCTGCTTTCAACTTTCAACAAATAAAATGCATTAATTATAGAGGGTCATTGATCAGATCCTTAGCTTTCATAAATCAGCATAGCTCCACTGAAGCCAGTGAAGCTACACCCTTATACACCAGCTTGTTATCTGACCCTCTGATGCATCATGCCCTTCCACTCACTGACCCTGCAGTGAGTCTGCCCAGAAGTTAATACAGACATAGTGAGATTTCTTTCTAGCAAATATTTACATTTTTAGAACCTTTAAAGTTGTTTATAGGGAAAGGTTGGTATGACCCACAGATGGCATATATTTTTCATTGTTTTCAGACTGAATGCCTCGCAAAATTTTTCATGAGAAACCATTCAGAAAATATTATTTAATTATAAATGTGCAACTAGGTACAAGATATGAAATATCCAATATAAATACCCCAAAAGATATCCATTTCACAAAGATGATTTAGAATGAGAATAAAAAAAAGGGGGGCTGTATATTCTGTGTGACAATGCAGCTTTATATAGATATACCATAATAATGTCAGGGATACTTTTAGTGATCTGAAGGCTAGTCTAGGTTAAACAGCCAAAGTTTCTGTGTTAAGTAAGGAAGATTATTTTTCTGATAATTTTGTTACAGCTTATTGTCCACTATTATATGAATTCTTGAGTGGATGTGATAAAGGTTTAACAAAACACTTAAACTGTGAAACACGTAGTTGAATTCATGTGTTATTTAAATTACTTATTACTGATGTATGTTGACTTTTTGTATGGGTATTTAGTTAATTAAATTATCTGAAAAGGTACAGGTAACGTCACTCAAGACAAAATTTCAGGAAATTGCAGGCACTTCTTAATGTTTAGACTATTCTAAATGTTTAGAAAGAAATACAGTGGATTTCTGAGGTTTAAACTAAAGAGATATTTTTTGCCGTTGCTTAGAGTTTCAGCAGGAAATGGAACCTAAACTTTGCTGTCCAAAGAGATTACGACTTCACATCAAGCAAGATCCTTGGAACCTTCCCAGCAGTGTCCAAAATCTTGCACAGAATATAAGAAAATTTGTTGAAGGTCAGTAAGAAAAACCTAACCCTCAATAAACTCATAGCTAATGAGGGAGAGCGGAGGAAGGATATAACGGGTTTATGTGGTCTATGAGGCAAGGTCTGCAGAGTAGCATGTAGCCAAGAGGAAATTTCTAAATTCCAGCACAGTTTGTATCTCAGTAGCAAGACTAATGGATAGTAGTTTAAATCAGAGATTCTCAAATTATGGGGTACGTCTCGGGAGGTGTGGGCCTGTATCAGGGGAGGTGCCTGTTGCCCGTCTTTTGGCCAGAGTGTGGTGCTGCGTGTCAGAGTGAATCCTGAAATCTGCTCAGCCTGGGAAGGGGCAGAGGGAGCCAGGGCTGCACCCATGGAGAAGTGCAGGAATGGGGGCATACCAGAGGCCAGGGGTACCAGCAGGGGTGAAAGTATCTTAAAGGATTTACCGGTATGCTGAAGTCCTGAGCAGGGGGCGTGACCTCAATTTGAAGAGGCGGGGTCTTTAAATAACCGGGCCCTTTTAATCCAGATTTAAAGGCCCCTGGGCTCCAGCTGCAGTAGCGGCGGCTGGGAGCCCTGGGCCCTTTAAATCACCCCTGGAGCTACTAGCTGCAGAGGCAGCTGGGTGCCCTGGGGCTCAGGGGAGATTTAAAGGGCCTGGGGCTCCGGCCACTGCAGGGAGCCCTGGGCCCTTTAAATCGCCACCCAAGCCCTGCCACCGCTACCCCAGGGCTCTGGCAGCGGGGCTCGGGTGGCTATTTAAAGGGCCCAGGGCTCCGGCCGCTGCAGGGAGCCCTGGGCCCTTTAAATCACCAGCTTGGGGAAGCTGATCTGGTCTGGCATGGCATACCGGCTGTTGCTGGTACACCGTACTGTACCGTACCGGCTTACTTTCACCTCTGGATACCAGGGAAAGCAGCTTGCAGGTGCTACTCTGCTCCACCCAGGGCTATGCTCCCCAGCATGGCCCTGTCTGCTGCAGTGCAGCAGCTCCCCTGCTTCCCCATTTCCCTCCCTCAACATCACAGGACCTCTCATGCCCCCCATTTTATTCCTATGCTGCTGTCTAGCTCATCCAGAGCTCCTCCATCTCCCCTGGTGTACCTCCCTTTGGCTGAAGCACTCCCTGCATTATCCTAAGGGCTCTCCTCCATCCCCATGTGCCTCCTCTTCTCAGCCCTGCCCTGCAGTAATGGTGTTGTAGATCCCCTTCTTCTCCCCAGTCCCCAACCCCATCACAGCCCTGTCCTGCAATATCCTGGGGGATTCGCATCATTCACTGCAGAACTACGGCTAGTTCCTGGGCAGTAGGGCTGGGTGAACTGGGCTTACCAGAAGGGTTCTCTTTCTGGTCCTCTAAAGCTGTCCATTTCTGAGTCAGTGCCCCCATCAAGGCAGCAGTCCTTGTGTGAAGTGGGCTCTGAACTCTGCTGAGGTCCTTGGTGTCCCCTTCCTTCCCATTCCCAGGGAAAAGCCAACAGGGGTCAGGGTCCCTGTGGCTGTTTAGGTCAGGTCTCAGGAGGATCTGGGGCCCTGTGCGGTTTCTTTTGGGGTGATGCACTGCCTTCCCCATGGTAACCGTCTAGTTCCAGCTGGTGATAGTGGTGGTCAGTCCTGGCTACTAACTCAGCATCCCCTTCGACTTCCTGCTGCACTGGACCTACACAGAGCTCCAGATGGTTGCTTTCACCTAATAGGCCACATGCACTAAAGGGGGCCCCTGTTCCCTACCTGTAGGCCCAGCATCCATGAGCCCTTCTCTCTTCATCCTTGGGCCCCAGAGATCTGAGGGTCCGGGGAGGTGTTGCACGGCAAGTAGGGATTATGATGACCTAAAATGTTTGTGCAGTTTAATTTTAGCTGCTGCAGTTTGTACTCTTTTTAACAGATCTGCAAGATAACACACCTGTACTCTTACTATAATTATATTGATCAAAGCCCTTCTACTTTATTACTTGTATCATTGCAAAAGATAGGATTTTCAGTTAGTTATTTGTGTTGTCTTAATAAACCGTGGAGAGATGCAATGTTGTTGTTTTCCTTAGTTTAGGGAAGCTCACTATGACAAAATCTGAGAATACCTAATTGAAATAATATCTCAGGGGGTAGCTAAGGAGAGGTGCCAGCAGAAGCGTGAGAAGCAAAAGCAAATATTGTATTGTCTGAGTAACAGGCACCAGGGGAATTCGGACCCTTAGATGAAGATGCCGAGTGATTCCAACACCTATTGTAGTTAGTAGTCCTGATTCTGTTCCCACTGAATTCAATAGGAACGCTAATGTTCAAAGGGAGCATAACAGGCCTGATAGAATGCGAGTGTGCATTTCACAGGACATGCTCAGCACTTTGCAGGACCTGCCTTTTTGAGTGTACTGTTTGATAAGGAAGCAATGGAAAAGAGAAGCTTAAGGGATTTATAAAACTATGCACTGGAATATTGCAACATGCATCTCTTTGTGGGAACCAAAGCCAGCTGTAGATTGCTTCAGTCCAAGGTTAAAATTATTTTGTGAGTACATTTAGCAGCTTCATTTTATTGGCTAATTTCCATGACATCCCATGATGAAACTGCTCAATTTCAGACTACAAAAATAATTTGTGATGTGCTTTATAAATATAAACTTTAAAAACCATAAGAACATAAGAATGGCCATACTGGGTCAGACCAAAGGTCCATCTAGACCAGTATCCTGTCTTCCGACAGTGGCCTGGGGAAGCTGCTGTTACTTATACAGACCTGAGAGCCTGTCTAAGTTGTGATGTTGGTGTCTCCAGCTCTCAAGTAGCACAGGATCAGGAGAGCACAAAGCAGGCTTGAAGCAACTTTCAAAGTCCCTTCCCCTGGGCTGCAAGTTTTGTGCTGTGCCTCTGAGTTTCATGCCATTTGTTGTCTCCACAAATGATCAAGGTATTTACAGACAGACTAGCCAGCCTGCAGTTCTATTTCTGACTGAAACTAATATGAGGTTTGATCAGCGAATTTAAAGTTACTTAACCTCCCTTTTGCTCTTTTATTTGTCTGATTCTGAAAGAACAGAAATTGGTCCCTAACTCATTTTTATATTTTTCATTTTAAGACAAAAATTATTTCAAGCCAAAAGGTGAATTGAACTTTCTCCCAGATCTGTATTTCAATGATCAGGCACAAAATACAGGAGTCAGTCAATTAAAAAATTATTCATGGTTTTTCTATTTAGTGTTTTAAAATGTTTTATATTTGCGCTCTGTGTGGCTGGTTGAAAGTCCATTCTTTGTTAGGCCATTAGTGTACTCTTTAAATGAGTGTGTTCAATAGAATTTCAGTTGTAAGTAGGTGAATCTTCATATTTCTACATAAGCAGAAGTTAAGTGACTATATTTAATAGGGAGAAAAGAGGATATTTGTCTCTTGAGTCAGATTTAGGTTTTGTGGTAAGTAGATGAGGAAGCCCACAAACCCTCTTTGGTTACCACCTAAAGAAATGTTGTTTAGTGGTGAATGATGCTCTAGTGGTTGAAAACTTGTTTAACCATTATTGATGTTAAATAAGTGAATCCATTTGTTGAAAACTGACTCCAGTGCTTAGATTTTAATAGAAATCTCAGAAGTGGTTGTATTTTCTTGTTGATAGTTCTATTGCCTTGAATACCATGCTATATTAAATTAGAATGATTCACTATTTAAAGCAGATGGAGATATAGGAACCCCACAAAAGTCATGTTTAACTTTTACATTGCATTGTTTTTTAATTTCTGTTGTGTAATAAATAGGAAGAAAAGAGAAATTCTTAATACCTTCAGGATGGTCTTTATAGTCTGTCAATTTTATTATTATTAATGGAATTGGGTGAACACGTCAAAAATATTCATGAATATGCACTCAGATTTTATTAAAATATTTTCCTGGGAAGTAAATAAAAAAAATTATTGTTGACCTGATTTATAGAGGTCTGGTTTATTATAGGCTCACGAGTGATCTGACTAGGAGATAATCAGGTTCTTGTCCTGAAATCAGATCACAGAATTAGAGAATGTAGAGAATTCAATAATTTGTAAGGACTCTTGGGGTGTGTGGCAAGAACACTCATGCTGAGGACAAAGCCAAGCTTTAGAGATTTTTATTAAAATAAAGGAAAAAGTCATCAAAGCTCCAAACCATAGAATCAAAAAGAAATAATACAGTTCTATGGGTACCTATGGTATCATTCCTTACAAAAGCTACTTTAGGCTAGCATACTTATACCCTTTCTTGGTGACCTGGTGATGGGAGACAAAGGACCAGCCTTGTCTCTGGCATGCCAAATGAGTCCGATCGTCCAGGTTCCTCAGTGCTGAGATGGTGGAGAGAAGGCTTAAATGTAGAGTATCTAAGCTATACTGCAAAATCTAAGCTGGTAGCTAAACAAAATAGGAACTAAAAGAACGAAACTCCACATGGTGGTTTGCCCTCTTAGAGGGTTTTGGCACTATCCTCAATATTCATGTCAGTGCCCAACCTTCCATGCCCAAATCTTATTTCCTCACCCACATAAGTCTTCGGGTACACTTACTCTATAAGCTAGTGATATATATCTCATTCCTGAAACCTGTTACCTTTGGCCTGAACCGTTACTTCCATGTTCTTGTGGTGTACATTGTGGTTACTGGTATGTCTCAGAATTTTAGTAAACACATTTAATTCTTCAAAGTCTAAAAGTGTAACCAGTAGGCCATTTACCTATGCCAAAGGTTACAAGCACTCATGCTAACTTGCTCTAGCTAATCATACAGGATACAGGTCTGTAGGTTCTTTGCGTTACAGCCAAATATAATGGAGCAATGTCTACTGAAATTATTCAATACAAAAATATAAGCCAAAATAATAGAATCAAACCAATAAAGAGAAAACAGGATATATAATTTAGCAAGCTAGCAGGCTAGCCCTATGGGCTACAGTCAAAATCTCTTACTATAGAAATTTTTATCCTATAATATGGTTAACTAGAAGAGGGGAAAATCTGGCAGTATAAGTCAGCCTTGAAAGGCTAATAAATGGAGGAATGTGAG